AAGAGGTAAAACTTGTAGAAATTCATTGGCAAATGAAGTCTAATATGATGGTGCCTGATGTCTCCCTTTTCAAGTATGAGTGTTCCCATAGCTATCACTTTTGTAGCCAGAAAATCCGCTCTTTCATTCCCTCGTACTCCTGAGCATCCCAGACAGTATATCCATGTGACTGCCTGCAGTGTTGATGTACTGATTGCTGAAATCCACTCATGCCACATTTGTCTGATTTGAACCTTCCACAGTACAGAATAAGAATCAGACACAACAATTCCTCTGGTAACTTTACTTTCTACTATGCACCTCAGTGCTGCAGTGATTGCCTCCACCTCCATCCTCTTGCTTAAAGTTGTAGATAAAAGAGCTCCATTCTGTTCTGTCATGATCTTTCTCTTCATTCTAGCTGAAAATCCCTAGCCAGATCTCACACCTGATGAAGAGAACCACCGGTGTACACTCTTACATCTAGCCCAGCGTTTTCATCTACCAGTTGTACTTCAATCCCAAGCATAGAAAAGTCATTAATACAACAGAATTGGACAGTGATTCGCAGGCCAGATTTGGCCTGCAGGCCACCAGATTAAAAAATCCTGGTCTACACCAAAAATTACATACTTAACAGCAAAACTGGCAGGTTACAAGACAATGACAGGGTTACTGATACTGCTATCACACTTTTGAGGGTTTCCTTTGAAAACCCCTCGTACTTACAATTTCCCTCACATGATCCCACTCCCTACTTCGCTAATATAATCAAACACGGAATCTATATGCTGGCAGTGACAAGCAACACGAAGAGGGAACACAGATGATACACTTTATTGAATACGAAGAATAAGGCACAGCCCATTTGCCAAAAATGAACAAATGAAAGGCAGAGAACAAGGCACCAGTAGATTATTGGTCAGTAACAAGAAATAACATATTAAATGCATGTACTTGTAGACACTTGGGAAGGATAAGTATGTCAGAAATGTATCATTTACGCACACAGGGTTAAATTATAACATAATTCTAAATGTCTAGTTTTTAGCAAACTAACATGTTTGGTTTGCACAAAATGGTAAATTGACAGCTGCCATATACATTTACTTTGCATGTGTGAGCTTGCAGATTTTGCCAGGACTGACATATTTATCACTAGTTATTTTTCAAGTGAGACAGTGTGATGTCCAAAAGCAGAAAAGTGGAGCAGTTCTAAGGTGACCCGTCTGCAGTGAGGTCGGACAACTAGTAATTTACAAAGTCATGACTCTGGAAACAAGAAAACTGCACAATCTGGTTCTAACTTCCCTGGTTCATAATTTATCGTCCGCAGCATTTTTTCTTTGCTTTTTCATCAGTGAGTCTGAGACCCTCTTCCATACGTTTATCCTCTTTTTCTTGTAACAAGCTGTGGAAATCAAAGATTTTGTGAGTTTACACATACAGGGTTTAGAACGCTGGGCTCTCAAGGGGGAAACAAGGGTTTGAATCCTCGGTTAGGCCAGGGATTTTTTTCCGTCAGGGACAAAATAAAACCTCCACCTGCACAGTCGTGGCAACAGTGCTAGCATGCAGCTGTAAATCCTCAGGCCCAAAGATCCACCTGCCTACACCGCAAAAGTGGTACAGGCAGTCATTGTTTTATACATACAGAGTGGGCTATACTGATGGGACACATCTCAAATGCAAATATGGAGAAGCATGTAGGAAGCAACATTTATTACCCCATATATAGAAAACACTGCCAAAGGGGCGGGAGTTTGACAATGTGTTCAATGTTTGAAGATTACTTCCCTGAGATGGATACCACCTTGAAAAAACATTCTTTGGCTCTAAAAGTCAGGTTCAGCATAGTTATAGCCCAGAATTTTGGCTGGGATGGGCGCTTCCTCCGGATGTTGTCCTTCAGTTCACTATGATAGTGTCTTGTCCTTTAAGGTAGTCTGGTGGAGTCAGATCTGGGGATCTGGATAGCAATGGATATCAAAAAATTTCAGGATGAGCCATCCAGGGATCTGGATGGCAATGGATATCATTGAATCTTGAGATAAGCCATCCTGGGAAGTGTTGTTGAAGAGTTGTCATTGACACTACTGTTGTATGATTAGCGACACTCTCCTGCTGCAGCCATATGTACCTTATGCAAAGCTGTCTCATTTCGGGTATGAGAAATGTTGGAAAGAAGCATGTAACAGGAACTACACTTCCTATTCAGCCGTATCTACAATATGCATGACAGTTACTGCTCGCAGTAACATAAATGTGGGGGAGCCACCGTGGTCTAGCGGCTAGACCCTTGCCTGGGGATCGGACGGTCATGGGTTTGGTTTCTAACCACAGCCAGGTTTTTTCCCTCCAAAAATGACTGGCTCCCAGGTCGACCCAGCCTTGTGGGGTGGGGGGTGGTGGTACAGTCTTGGGAAGTAAAGGCGGCCAGCATGATGCTGACCACATCACTCACCAAATGCCCTTTGGTCTATCAAATATAGGTCTGGTCCTATATACTCAGTACACCTGAAAGGTGTGGAAAAGGGTCCTTGACTTGACTTTTAAGATAAATGTGCCCAATCAATATGGCCCACAGTGTACACAAAATTATTGTCTGGAAAGCGTATGACTTCTATTAGGGTTGAGGGCTAGTGAACTGTTTTAGCTCTTTTGGCTGGTGAACTGTTTTAGTTCTTTAAACTGGTGAACTGTTTTAGTTCTTTTGGCTGGTGAACTGTTTTAGTTCTTTTGGCTGGTGAACTGTTTTAGTTCTTTTGGCTGGTGAACTGTTTTAGTTCTTTTGACCTGTGAACTGTTTTAGTTCTTTTGACCTGTGAACTGTTCTAGTTCTTCTTCTTCAGCATTCACTCATAAAACGTGTCCGCATATTATGCTATGGTTTACAGCTAGGCTGTGATATTCACATCTTTTAGTTTAACACATCTAGTTTCAAGTGCCTTTTACAACATGCTTGTTACAGGACAGAGGGTTTCTTCTCCACACCCCTCCCCCAAATGGATCCTTAGAGCTCACACGGGGTGTCAGAGTTCAGTGCACTGGTATTTAAGTCTTGAGTTCAAGAGGGTTTGCATCGAACAGAGTGGGTCTGACATAGAGCAGGGATATTCAAAGGCGGCCCCAGGTCAAATGTGGCCCACATGGGGGCCCAGCAAGTTGCTCGTGGGTTATTGCCAGCTTTCAGTTAATGAGCTTTTTATGCTGGGTCTTGGAACTGCCTCCCCAACAAGACTGTCGTAAGAATTGACTAACTGGGGGCTTCCTTCACAGTTGGAGTGCATCTGCCTGAGAGGCAAGGAACCAACAGTCTGCATACAAATAAGCAAGATCTGTAAAACAGATGCACATACAAAACTCAGGTCCTAGAATAAAGCCAAAGTCTAGGAATTTACAACACATCCAGGTCTTTCTGCCGGGGTTTACTGCCAGTGAATGCAAACAACAACTTAACTTTGACAGTTAATCAGGAAGATGAAAATTAGCAGGACCATCATCACAGCACCCTGGATAGATCCATTGCTGCTCTGATCTCCTCCTCAGTAGCTCCACAAGCGTAAAATGATAAATCATATTGATTCTGTTTAAAGTAATCTCATCTCCTGCTCTTAGTGAATGTCCATGTCTGGCAGCTGCAGGCTGTAGCCCCATGAATCAATGGCAGCTGTAGCCCTATGAATCAATGGCAGCTGTAGAACCATGAATCAATGGCAGCTGTAGCCTCATGAATCAATGGCAGCTGTAGCCCCATGAATCAATGGCAGCTGTAGCCCCTTGAATCAATGGCAGCTGCAGGCTGTAGCCCCATGAATCAAGACAAGGATACACAGTCATAGATGTAGTTGTAATATAAAGATAATATTGAAAGGATCTGAAGTGAAAGCAAGAGGCTATCCTAGGAGAACATCGCCTGATGACATTAAAGGGCTTCTACATCTACACACTATAGACAGCCAATGCTGCACATCAAGCAATGGATCACAAACTGTTCCTCCCCACAACACTTAATGGCAGAAGTAAAAATTGATGATGATGATATATAGTATATATTTTCCTGGTGCGGGTTCTGGATCCACTTCCCCTTATCAAGCCTGGCACAGGATGTGAATAATATACAAATTTGCGGGACATCAGAAGCCTTTCTTGGCAGTAGTGAAACGTCGCAAGCTAGCTTGTTTTGGGCACGTAGTGACACATTATTTGATTGCAAAGACTGTACTGAACTTTAGGTGATATTCGAAGAAGAGGGGTGCAAAGAAGAACTGGAATGACAACATCAAGAAATGGACAGGACTAAGTTATCATACACTTCTTCATCAAGCGGAAGACAGAAAAAGATGGCGGATTTTATGTGCTAGCGCTTTCATCAAAACACCTCCACAACCCTAATGGGTCAAGGGTTATGTTTTGTTATGTTCAAAGTCAGAGGGCATCTGCCTAAGAGATAAGGACCGAACAGTGAATACAAATAACCCACATCTGTAAAACAGACGCACATGCAACAGTTCTGGATCAAGATCAACGTCCAGGAGACGATGAAAAACTAGAACTTTCCACCTTAATTTGCAGCCGTTGAACGTTAGGAAGAATAAATATATATTTATTACTGCAGTCCTTAAGAAAGAGAATAGGGGCTTTTGAGCTGAAATGCTAAAGAAAGATTCTCAGAATATCTTGGACAAAGAAGAGAAGAAATACTGACATCTTGAAAGATCTGAACATCAAGGAAGATTGGCTAATAAACAGCATCCTGTCTCAGAAGTTGAAATATTTTGGTAATATCAAGTACCATGATGGATTGGAAAATAAATTATAGCAGAAGGCATGGCACCAGGAAGGAGAGGCAGGGGCCGACCAACACGAAGATGGGCAAGGAGATAAGTGACTCCTTGAGTATGAAAGTACATGAGGTGGTAGAGCTGGTGAGAGACCAAGTTTCTTTCAGGCAGACTGCGATGAGAACGATGATCTGCAAAGGACCTGCTACATGATGATGATGATGACTACAGACCAACCTGGCAAGGGCTTCCATAGCTTCAGTTATAGTCGAGCCCGTCTTGGCACTGGTTTCGTAAAAAAGCATGTCAAATTGCTGGAATGAGGACATGACAAGCAGGTTTTATTCATGAACATCACAGTACCTTCTATGACAGTGTGATCCAGCTAGCTAAAAACTGGACCTTACGATGTGCTAACAGCTTCAGGCTGAGCAACCCACTAAGGAGGATACTAAAGTGGTGCTTACAAATACCTGCCGATGTACTTTCAATATTTTCTCAGTAATTACTTATCATGGAAACATGATTTTTTTTTGTGTGTGCATGGGTTCTCATTTTCATTTCAACATTTATGTTTTTAAATAAATAATATTTATACTGCCCAGTTGTATCAGATGTTTTCTTCGTTATTTTTGTCAGCTGTTTATTTATAGTTAGACAATAAACACATTTTACAGTAGTGACGTAAGCGGTGAGTATAATAGAACTTAGAGGTCCTTCAACAATTGTTTACTATGATGGGTAGGTCAACTATGTACATTATCTTTAATGTACGAATCTTCACTTCTAACGTTATTTCAATTCTAACCCTTGCTTTAAAAATTTTTTAAAAAGAGTGAGGAGATCAGAGAAATGAAATGGGAAACAAACAGTCTAAGAAAAAGTTAAATGCACTTGAAAATGTCTGAGAAAAATCATGATGAGATGAATTCAAAAATAGTGAGGAGATTAGAGAAATGTCTGGACAAATACCTGTATCCACTGCAATAAGACAAAGAAGGTGGAGATATACTGGGAACATTCTGAGATGAAATGAGCACAGAATTACAAAACAGACAATGAAATGGGGAAAAAACAGTCTGAGAAAAAGAGGGAAACATTAAGAAGAAAATTATTACGAGAGGCAATAAATGCTGTGCTGAACTCCGTGTCAGAGATCCAGAAAGTTACATGCAATAAAGTGGAGAGGAGGAATTGAATGAGGGCCCTATGTGACGTCTAACAGCACACAAAAGGATGATAATGAATGTATATTAATGATTAGCATACAATTGTTGCAATTACACCTTGTGATATGCCTGAGTAAATGATGTAGCAAACTCATTATATAGCACGTAGCAACACCTTCAGTGCAACAGTTGTGCTCTTTTTAGAATTTCCGTAAAAAGAGAAAAAACGTGTGATTTATTAAATTTGAACTCTTTGCTATATAACTCTTAAAATATCAATCAGCAAGGATCATTGTATTTTTATAGACCTCAAATAAGCAAAAATGCGTTCTAACAACTTGTTATGCGGGCACAAATATCTGACATAACGTTGAGAATGAGGTAAATATTAATATATAATTTCATCCATTTATATTCCACTACAGCTGAGATATAATCGTTTGAACATCAGCACCAATATGTAAACTTACTATAGCCTTATCCTAGGAAGACAAAATGCAACCTGAAAACTTCATGCTATAGCAGGGCAGACCAGGTCCTTAGCCTTGGCTGGCAGCTGGTCTAGAGGGAAGCTTCAATGGGCAGATAGAGCTCCGCTTTTATGATCTGGTAGCTTCACCAGCGTGTTTTGTTACAAACATACCAGTGTTACCTTTCCTTTGGAGTAAAACAAGGCATGCCGAGCCAGGGAACACAATGCATGGGCACCACACTGTCACTACAATACTGTCCAGGCTTTGTGCTATGGAAGCAGCCACTGTGGTGTAGCGGCTAGACGCTCATCAGCAGATTGGAAGGTCGTGGGTTCAGGTCCTGATAAAGCCAGACTTAAAAAAAAATGACTTTAGCTACCAGGTTGTCCCAGCCTTAAATGGGTACCAGGTAAAGTCCTGGGAAGTAAAGGTGGTCAGCCTGAAGGTGACCACAGCACCCACCAAGTGGCAACTCCTTCTTCTTCTGCCTTTCTATTCCCCAATTGAGCATAGGCCCTCAACCAACTCACGCCAAGTCATTCTATTCTTTGCCATTACATGGAGCTCTTCCCATGTCCTCCCCATCTTTCTAACTTCATTCTACAGCTCTTTTTTCCATTTTTTTGGGCCTTCCTTTCATTTCCCTTGCTACTTCCATTGTTCTCCCTATATCATAGAGAGTTCTAACATTCCAGGTGCCAACTCGGGAGGTTTTCTTAGCTGAGAGGAGGTACGTCAACGATTCGGACTCCTTATGGCTTTCTCCACACCTTGTCATACTTCTTCTACTTGAAAAGCCTCCCCTCATCTTGGTTGGCGGGGTTTTACTTGCTTCTTTTTTTGACTTATCCATGGTTTGTTGGTTTTTGTGGCTATTGTTTTCACAGGTTGAGGTAGCCAACCCCAACACCACCCTTGGTCGCCTCTTACAACATGCCTGGTAGGGTGCAGTGTCACTATTCTTTGCTTCTCGTGAGGGTCTCGATGACACATGGGCAAAGTGGCAACTAGTCTATAAAATATGCGTCTAGCCTTATATGCCCAATAAACCCGAGAAAAGGCTCCTTTGTGCTACGGACAGGAGGAACTTCAAGAGTAGATATTTCCATGTCTTCACATCGCACTATAAAACACTATCGTCTGGAAAGATAAAAGGTGTCAATGTGAGAACCTCTATTATTTTCGACTTCCGGCACAGTCACTGTTTTTAGCCAAAGCAAATTTTGTTACTTCTGTTATACGGTGACCGTTGCATTTTCCTCCATTTGTAGACTGATAAAATATAGTTTTGTCACCAAGCTACTGAGTCGAGTGCATGGCACAACATTGTGAGCTGTGGATTTTATTTGGAATGTTTTTCAACTGTGAAAAAAAAGGGTTGTGATGTAGATTCACAAAATAGTGCGTGGCTTGTTGCCACAGAATTGGTGTTGCCTTATGTGATTAAAACTGATTGCATGTGCAACTACTGATCTGTTCATAACTGCTGCTTCCGTCAATGATGAACTGTATTTCTGATGGCCAACTGTTTGTGTAGGCACTTCTGATGGCTGCTTTATGCTTTTAATGTGTGTGTATGCTAATGAATATGCTGAGACTGCATTCTGTCAATTTTTCCTCAAGAAACAGTGATCGACATTCTGTGCGTTTTTCGTTGGCACAGGAGCGGAGCAACTATGGAGTGACCCATTTGCTATGAAGCTGAGACTAAGAATACCAAGATCTCTTATTTTCGAAGGTGTGCCAAGGACCTCATACTTTTATAACAGTCATACTGAAAACCTTATCAGTAAAACCTTGTTAACATAAACTCGCTTAAGACAGACATTTTTATTTTTCACATTCACTGGCTGTAAACTCCGGCAGAAAGTTCTGGTTGTTCATCCACTTTTGGACTTTAGTATGCACATCCCAATTTACAGATCTGACTCATGTGTGTGCAGACTGTTGGTTCCTTGCCTCTCAGGCAGATGCAATCCGACTTTGAAGGAAGCTCCCAATTAGTCAACTCTTGTGACGAAATGACCTCTGTGTTTTCAGAAGTTAGTATGTTTAATAATTTCTTATGTTCATAGAGAAACAGAGAATTGTATTTACTATGCCCTAAGCCCAAACAATACTTAAACCCTGTCGGGTTTAACATTGTTTCCAGCCCTTAGCCCAGACAAAGCAACCTAGCTTTGGTTAATATTACATAACATTACCTTATCTAGCTAATCTTTCTACCTGGTGAAAGCCAGCCAAAGAGAGTCATAAACATTACATAACTGGCTAGACTGGGCCCTTTGAACAGATCAGATCAGGGGAATTAACTTGGTCTAGCAGAAAACTCCAGATATGATGGCGTTCCCTGGACTTTCATTTCACATCTGTCAGTGAGACTGGCTGTAACTAGATTTGCTCACTTAAGAATGTTTGATCATAGTAGGGGCAGTCAGAACTGACTGAGAGGCACATTGATAGCTAATTTGATCTGCAAGGTACTTCAGGGGCATGGCTTAGATTCTCTTCTGTAGGAAAAGTTAGATACTAGAAAGGGGAGGAGTTTACTTTGCAAAGAGATAAGGGTACATATGATTACTGCTAGGCATCCAAAATTTACTTCATAGTGGTGCCAGCATGCCACAAACTCAGATCAACAGTAGAAAATAATTCTGTTTGAGTCTTGTTTTGAAATATGCTGGAATGTTCCCAGGTATGATTGTATACTATTTTAAATCATTTATTCATAGGTTAGGAGGTTAGCTAAGTCTACTCTACATTTCCTGATCTATCTAACTATACATCTGCCTAAGATAGTTCGTTGTCAGTATTCAGTTATCTCAGTTAAGGAGCTGGTTTTCTACTCCTATTTCTTGTATGTTTGTATCACATGTTTTTCAGTGTATGTTTCATGTTTATAAAAAAAGACTTGTATAATGAAATTATAATGTTTCAATCATCAACCAAAACATGAGCCTGGACTGTGGGAAATGATGCCCACATGTGCAGCCATGTGGCTGCGTTTTTGATAGCCCACCATGTGCTCACTGAATGTGTTTGCCTACACAGGGGATCGATAACTCCAGGGGAAGAATCATGTGTGTAAAGAATTCACTGCCATTGGAAAGATAATATTAAGGACAGCATGCATGTATAAAATTTTTTGGGTTTCAGCACATAACCTGCTCCACGTGTTCATGTCAAAACAATGTCAGCCAGTTTGGAAGTCTGAGTGAAGACAGACAACAGACTTAGGAAGTCAACTATCAGGACAATACATGAGAGGGAAGGCAGGATATATTAGACATCAGTGATAAACACAAGACCTTCAGACTAGACTGGAGAGAATATAGAATATGAGAAGGAGAGATGATATATATATATTTTATTAGTATATGCATGCTTAGTGTAAGTACTGATACTACACATATGTCTTTGTTTCAATTATTACAGCTCCCATCGTGGACCAGTCAGTTCTGATAACAGAAACAGAGGGTCCACGTACATGAACCTATACTGCGTGGGAGATCGGCAAGCTGGGAACAAGAAGGAACAGGCGGTGGAACAAGCTGGGAAGAAGCTGGAAGAGGTGGAAAAGCTTGACAGTGCCTCACGGCTGTCAGAGGTTTTATCTTGCGCTACCACTAAGTTACGTTCATATTTTGTTCGCAAACTTATGATCATAATTATAACTTCAGTCGAATCTCAGGTGCTCAGTTCTCTAGCTGAAACATCTAATCATCACCATACCATCACTGTTTAATAACATATCTTATAAATGACAAATGTCATATAAATTATTGCTAGTGTAATAAATCATTATTATGGTTTTATACTGCATCGTTTGTAAAATTTCCATGTGTGTCTGTTCTTACATATTTAACTAAACTGTCAGATAGAATTACATTTGTTGGGGGTTCATTATAAATTCTTTACCAGGAGGAGGTAGCCAGGAGGGGTCACCTGCCCTGTCTAAAAATTCAATAATAATAATAATCTAGACATCTAAAACCCTTTTCCTTATCATGTGCAGACCAAGTGCAGCTGCTGTTAAACTACATAATGAGCCAAAATATAGCTGTTTTCTTGGATATCCAGGACTGTGTCTGAGATCCACATAGCTCGGATATTTCTCTGGTGGAGGTGAAGTGCTGAGAGGAAAATTCCAACTCATCCCAAAAGCATCTACTCACTCCACTACTTGTGACACTCTTACAACATGCTTTTGGGTAGGTAGTGGGTCTGTTCTTGTTTTCCCACAATGGGCCCCATAACCCACACAGGGAAGATGGACGTTCAATGTAGCATGTAGTAAACAATGACTAATTAAAGGTTTCCTTCAAAGTCAAAGTACATCTGCCAGAGAGATAAGAAACCAACAGTCTACATTCCGCATACAAAAAGAACAATCAGTTTCCTGCCGGAGTTTACACCTGGTGAGGGCGAAGAAGAAGAAGCAGCACTCTAGGTAGAAAAACTTTTAACATAACTTGATTTTTTTTTTTTTTTGGGGTCTCTTGGAATTGTGTCAACGAGGTTTTATTGTCATTTACAATATTAAAATATCAAAAACGACTGCACTGTAAATTTTAAAAATTGTTTTGGTTAAAATTGATATCACAGGCACCTTCTTTTTCCTCTTACTTTGCCCTTGAGTGTTTTAGTTTAAAAAGGCTGCAATATTTATGCCTTTAAACCCAAAATATCCAATTTCAGCAAAATAAAAGAAGCAAGTGAAATAAGAAAGACCAGAAAACTCTTCTGAAAACTATACTGGAGGGAAAAGTCAAGGGCAAGAGGTAGACAGCAGTTCAAATGGGAAGTCAATATACAGAGATGGAAGACCAGCGGTCTGAGAGTATACAACCAGGACATTGCGACTTAGACATCTGTGAATGCATTTAGCAACGTCATGAACCTCAAGTACTAGGGTTTAATTCCTGCTGCAGATGGTAATTTTTTTTTTTTATCTCGTGGTTTTCAGCCAGTGGTACAAGAGTCACACCGTGGAAGAGATTGGGGCTTCACCTTGTTGTATTTCCAAAGACAGTAGTCATACACTGTAGCCAACCTTCACTAAGAAGATGACACAAACATATTTTAACAACCAAGTCAAGAGTCAGAGTGCTGTAGATCCACCACAGCCAGCCTTCACTGTAAAGACGGCACCTACTGACTGATCGATCGTAAGCCACACTGGAAAAGCAGATACTGATCACTGAAGAAGGAGAAGAAAAAAATCTAGCAACAAATTCACGAATGTAAAACCAAAAATGCTTACTGCTGCTAACAGCAATCCATCCTTTTGTTTGACAGGCCTCTTGGCATCATCCTCCGAGATGTCCAACTTATTACCAATCAACATCAGCACCGTTCCTGGCTCCACATTCTCCTGTGGGACATCAGTACAACAAGAACACAATGATTTATTCAGTCATTTCTCTTTCACTTCAGGGTGTAGAAGTAATTTATAGTCTTGTTTATTTGTACCTCTCCTACCATCAGATGTAGAAGTAATTATAGTCTTGTTAATTTTTTCCTATCATACCATCAAATGTAGAGTCAATTTATACTCGTCTACTTTTTCCTCTACTACCAATAGATGTAGAGGCAATTTATACTCATCTTCTTTTTCCTTTCCTACATCAAATGTAGAGGCAATTTAAACTCTTGTCTAGTTTTTCCTCTTTAACTTTTCAGTCTTTCCTCTTTAATCAGGTGTAGAGATAATGTTAAGTTTTTGTTTAGTCTTTCCTCTTTAATCATCTGATGTAGAGATACTGTTAAGTTTTTCTCTTTAACCATCAGGTGTAGAGATACTGTTAAGTTTTTCTTTAGTCTTTCCTCTTTAACCATCAGGTGTAGAAATACTGTTAGGTTTTTCTTTAGTCTTTTCTCTTTAATCATCAGATGTAGAGATACTGTATTTTTTTTTTTAGTCTTTCCTCTTTAATTATCAGGTGTGGAGATACTGTTAAGTTTTTCTTTAGTCTTTTCTCTTTAACCATCAGGTGTAGAGATAATGTTAAGTTTTTCTTTAGTCTTTCCTCTTTAATCATCAGATGTAGAGATACTGGAAAGTTTTTCTTTAGTCTTTTTTCTTTAACCATCAGATGTAGAGAACACAATAATTTATTCAGTTATTCCTTTTTCACTTCAGGGTATAGAAGAACTTTATAGTCTTGTTTATTTTTCATCTCCTACCACAAGATGGCAATGTAAACAGTGTTGTTTATGTGGATGTGCTTTTGGATTTGTTTCTGATGGGATTCACGTGTGTAATTCAGTGTTCCTTTCAGGATTTGGGCTGCGTGGCCTCAAGGCATGGTGTCCACCTAGAGTGCTAGAGGTTCAATACCCAATGAAGGCTGGGATTTTTTTATGAGGACCTGGACTTCTAGTAATTCCTACTGATCTGGCTAGTGAGATCAGATGCCCATGTGCATTTTTGCGCACGTAAAAAATCCCTTGGCAGTTGGAAATCGAAAATAATAGCCTAATGGTGCTGCCAGGGCAAAATTTAGAGTTAAAAATGTATCCAAAATATTTCAGGATACTCACTGTTTCTGCAGTGCCTGTGCACTGTGCTGAGCTTCTTCGGACTCAGACTTGAGTTAGAAGAAGAACGAAGCACTTGTGGGTTACTTACCTTGTGCCATGATGTTGATCGGTTGTTCAAAACCTTTAAGGATAAAGCTGCTACAGATTCAGCAAACTTGTAAATGTTCACAAAAGACTGCTCTAGAAAGTGTATATTAAATTAGGACATCCAACAAACTGAACCCTGTCTCAGCTACCTGGTATCTTTAGTCATACTTAAGCCATAGATGCCGACAAGCTGAAATGTACCAGGCAACAAATTGTGCAATCTAATTTTATGTCTTCTTTGTTCTAACTAATATCTGCATCTATTGACCAAAGAAGTTAAGATCCTTTGGATATTTTCTCCAGGTCATGCCGGCGTGTGGGGAAATGAGCAGACAGATAGAGTGGCCGGCTCTACACCACTTGGTGGTGAATTGATGTATGACAAGCAAGATATTGTGAGGGCCCTTTAGGAACAAGTGAACAGTGCGGAGGTGTAGACAGATCATTACAGTCTAAGGTGAATGGCACTGCCAGGAGTTACCAGGGGATCTGGCTGACGCTCAACACTCAGGGAAATGGGGGTAGGGATATACAATCAGATGGTTACTGGTGCCATCGGAATTGGAACTCTTCACCTGCTGCTGCTGCTGAAGATGGGGACTGAGCACTTATGAGAGTGTCTTGAGTGCTATGGTGTTGATTCTTAATTCAACATGACAAAAGAAGAAGAGAAATAGAATGTCAAGTCAATATTTCTGGCAAAAAACCTGTTGCAAAAACTAACAACGCACACAAAAACCAACAACATGCAAAAAAATTCAACAATACACATAAAAACTAATAACAAAACAACTAAGAATTTAATGAAGGTTATTTTAAAAAATCTCTAAAACACACACACCTGAACACTGGACATCCAGTTCCTAACGCTAGTGAAGGTGGCCTCTACGGTCACATCGTACATGACAATGACACCATCAGCTTTGCGGAAGTAGGCCTTGGTCATGGAACGAAAGCGCTCCTGTCCGGCCGTATCCCACAGCTGCAGTATCACTGTGGAATCCTTCACATCCATTGTCTTAATCTGGAAGTCCACACCTGGCAACAGACACACAAGACGACAATATCAACTGTCGTTAACATAATCTGGAAGTCGACACATGGCAACAGACACACAAGACGACAATATCAACTGTCGTTAACATAATCTGGAAGTCCACACCTGGCAACAGACACACAAGACGACAATATCAACTGTCGTTAACATAATCTGGAAGTCGACACCTGGCAACAGACACACAAGACGACAATATCAACTGTCGTTAACATAATCTGGAAGTCCACACCTGGCAACAGACACACAAGACGACAATATCAACTGTCGTTAACATAATCTGGAAGTCGACACCTGGCAACAGACACACAAGACGACAATATCAACTGTCGTTAACATAATCTGGAAGTCGACACCTGGCAACAGACACACAAGACGACAATATCAACTGTCGTTAACATAATCTGGAAGTCCACACCTGGCAACAGACACACAAGACGACAATATCAACTGTCGTTAACATAATCTGGAAGTCGACACCTGGCAACAGACACACAAGACTACAATATCAACAGTCATTAACATAATCTGGAAGTCCACACCTGGCAACAGACACACAAGACAACAATATCAACAGTCATTAACATAATCCCCTGTGTGGGTTCCGGGGCCCCATTGTGGGGAAAACAAGAATAGACCCACTGCCTCCCCAAAAGCATGTCGTAAGAGTCGACTAATTGGGGAGCTTCCTTTGAAGTCGGAGTGCATCTGCCGGAGAGGCAAGGAACCAACAGTCTGTATTCAAGAGAATGAGATCTGTAAAACTGATGCACACGCAACACTCAGGTTCTGGAGCGGGACTGCAGTTCAGTAGTGGACGATCAACCAGAACTTTCCGCCAGAGTGTACAGCTGGTGAACGCGAAGAAGAAGAAGAAGAAGAAGAAGATTAACATAATCTGGAAGTCCACACCTGGCAATGGGCACACAAGACAACAATATCAACTGTCGTTAACATAATCTGGAAATCTACACCTGGCAACGAGCACACAAGACAACAATATCAACTGTTGTTAACATTATCTGGAAGTCCACACCTGACATTGGGCACACAAGACATCATATCAACTGTCGTTAACATAATCTGGAAGTCGGCACCTGGCAACGAGCACACAAGACAACAATATCAACTGTTGTTAACATAATCTGGAAGTCCACACCTGGCAACGAGCACACAAGACAACAATATAAACTGTCGTTAACATAATCTGGAAGTCCACACCTGGTATTGGGCACACAAGACAACAATATCAACTGTCTTTACATAATATGGAAGTCGACACCTGGCAACGAGCACACAAGATATCATATCAACTGTTATTAACATAATCTGGAAGTCGGCACCTGGCAACAAGCACACAAGACAACAATATCAACTGTCGTTAACATAATCTGGAAGTCGGCACCTGGCAACGAGCACACAAGACAACAATTTCAACTGTCGTTAACATAATCTGGAAGTCCACACCTGGCAACGGGCACACAAGACAATATCTGTCGTTAACGAAGTGCCACTCAAGATGAACATTCAGTTTTCATGAACTAAATTTGTGTCCCAGCAGGGGTGTACTATTAGTTCTTAGTTAGCATAAATGTTTTTAACATGAACTCTGGATTATCCAGTGCCTTGAAATTTATGTTTATGATGTTTTACTGTGTTTTGAGTTTTAAAATTTGTGTGTGAAAAGTATAAAACTGAGTGAGGAGCTGCCATTGTGTAGCAGCTAGACACCGCAAGTCAATCCGAAAGTTGTAGGTTCAAATCCACATGAACTAGATTTTTTCATACATGACCTTGGCTCCTAGGTCAACCCAGTCTCAAATGAGTACCAGGTAAAGTCCTGGAAAGTAAAGGTGGCTAGCGTGAGTTCAGCACATCACTCATCAAGGGCTGATGGATCCATAAAAATATGTGCCCAGCCTCATATTCACAAACGGCATGTAACAGAACTTTTATAGGTAGATTTTTTCATAATAGATCTTTTAGTCCCCAGTTAGCATGAATGCTTTTAACATAAACTTTTGGTTTTCCAGTCCTGAGGAATTTATCAGACAGTTACTGGTGTCACCAGAACTGGAACTCTTCGCTTGCTGTTGCAGATTGGGAGTGTCTGGAGTGCTGCAATGTTGATTCCTAATTCAACGTTCAACATTCAGTTCTATGAAGTCTGTGTTTATGAAATTTAACTGTGCTTGAATTCTAGAAAAAATGAAAGCAGTAAACATCAGATAGTAGGTGCTTACTCTATGCGTTCACTGGCTGTAAACTCCAGCGAGAAGTTTTGGTTTTTTTCTACCTAATTGGGTCCTGGAACCCATTGGAGGAGAGGGTAGTTCAGTTGTTAGTTAACACTTTTAGACACAGTCATACCACTTTAGTTTAATAAGACAAAATGTTTTTTAAAAATGGATGACACTGCTCACTGATTCCAACAAGGGCTTTCATAGAGAAAACCACAAGAGGGGTGGGCAGTATGCACTAAAGGAGGACGCCTTCAGCTTCTGTGCTCAACATCAGCCAAGCTAATCGTTTAGTTCCATTTGGGTCATAAACAGATTTGTGTTCTAAGGTCACAGCCCGTCCCCCCACAGCTTCTCTTGTACTGTAGCTCCCTTGGGCCTGATCAAAGATCTTTGCTGGGAGTAGTCAGGGCAGTGCTGCAGTATGTGCTCAGAAGTCTGGCTCAGGAAGGTCAACATGTACACCCTACCAAAGAAGTGACAATGACGAGTTGAGGACAAATCATGGGATCATGATGTGCGGCAGAATCCCTCTCATGAGAAAGAGACTGAAGTATTTCAACAGGATCGGTAAATGACGGAGGAAAAAGATGGTGATCAACATGGCTTTATAAAAGCATTTCAGAGTCTCCCTCTGCTAATAGGCCGAGACCCAGTGAAAAGGACCAAATTGATTTATCAACGGTGCAGCGGAATTCCATTACCCAAATACATGGTGCGTAAAAAAGCAGTGAAAGGAAAACATCCTAACAATAGGTCATTACTGAGCTGTCTGAAATCCCAGTCTGGACCCAGGAGCAAATATATTCAAGAACTGTCCCACAATGGACATGGGATGTATGTCACCCACTGCCACAAGGAATACTGAGGACCAAACCTGCAGGGTGCTGAATTAAGATTTGACATCAAAGCACTCAGGACACCCTAATAAGCGTTCTATACCCATCTTCAGCAGCAAGCGAAGAGTTCCTATTCCGATGGCACCAGTAACTGTCTGACTTTATATCCATCTTGCTTTTCCCTGAGTGCTGAGCGTCGGCCAGATCCCCTGGTAACTTCTTGCAGCGCCATTCTCCTCATAACGTAATGACTTATTTGTGCCTCTGCACTGTTCACTTGTTCCTAGGGCCCTCACAACATCTAGCTTATCATATATCAATTTACCACTAACTGGTGCAGAACCAGCCAGTCTATCTGCCTGCTCATTTCCCAACACACAGTATAACTAGGAAAAAATCTCTAAAGGATGCTAACTAAACAGGACCTCTGAAGTGATCAAACTTGTGGACAATATAGAAGAGACGGTGGGGATGATATTCTAGGAACTTAATGAATGCACAGAGATAAGTTTACTACTGTCCTCATCTTTAAGTGGTCATTATGTCACATGGTGCAATCAATAATTTCAGAATGTTCTCCCTTCTTTGTAAGAGCAGAGAAAACTGATGAATAAGTAGAACATAGTTATTTCAGCAATCTTTATCTTATTGGAATTTAGTATTAGCTGCATCAATGAACCACATCCATGTTTGAAGAGTAAAACAACTGTCTAGTTCAGACAGAGTTGCCTCAACTTGTGACATGGCTCACTACGATCAGGCCAGACTAGGGCCAATAATTCCAGATTTTCAGACTGGTCGGTAATTCAGAAGATCAGTCTTCCATTGAAATGACAGTCCAAGCTGAAATGTGATAACAGGCACGGGTAGACCAGAATGTCAGATGGCTGCCTAAATGATGCTATAGTATTACAAAATAGTATATAACTGCAAGGGGGGAGGCTTTCATGGGTTATTCTTATGCTGTATCTGTGTAGCCAGGGACATTTAATATTAAGGGGCAGCAGTCTAAGTTTCTCATCTACAATTTATGGGATTTCAACCCCTATCCATAAAAGACAGCTTTTATGAGAAACATCCTGTGCCACAAAACACTTATGCAGACAATTTAAACCCACAAATACCACGTGCAAACACTGACAAGCATACAGACATGAACACAACAGTACAAACTGGCACCCAGTGGATTATTACCTATAGTTGTGCTGAAGTTTGGCTTGAACTCCTGGTGGCAGAAGTAGTGTATGAAGGTACTCTTGCCCACACCTGAGTCTCCAACAAAGACAACCTTAAATATCCTCTGTGGTTTGGACGGGTACGTTTCCTGTCAAACAAATCAACTACATGAAAATATACTGGTAACAGTAACTGATTACTGTGTTGGCAAACAAATACCATAATGGGCACACACTAAAAGTTAACTCTTTTGGTCCCAAGCACCATACGATGTGTAATCAGCTTTTCTGTGGATCCCACCCAGCATGTTAGGTTTTCTCATTCTTTGTACATTTGGTTTGAACATGCTGAAAAATCTGGCTTTCCTGTTTTTTCTCTTTGGAAATAATACTCTTGATTTTTCCAAGTGGTTATTTATGCCGTTTGAAGCTCAAAGAGTTAAAGAGGAGTTGCAAGAGTACAAGGACTAGACAAATTACATGCTGACTCAAAGGTCCTGGGTCTAAAGGCATGCTTCGTGCTGAGTGGCAAGCAGCCTTTGGATATTTTCTTCAGATCATGCCGGTGTTGTGAGATATGAGCAGGCAGATAGAGTGGCTAGCTCTGCACCACTTAGTGGTGAACTGATGTATGAAAAGTTAGATACTGTGAGGGCCCTTTGGGAGCGAGTGAATAAATCCACACTGAGGGGAAAACCTTAACTGACCAATGGTGAAATGGAAAAGAAAGAAAGTAGCTCTCAACTAACAGTGTCTATCATAACCCTCAACCCCCGTCCCTCTCCCCTCCACTTAGTCATATCTCCCTCTCCGAAGGATTGAAAAATCATCCCGGGCGAAAGTATTAAAATAGAAATAGTTAAGAAATGAGAACTTGAAAAAAAATGTGTTAAGCTCTCTTAGGTAAAATAATGTTGTCTGGCATAACCCCCCCCCCCCTCCCCCTCCTCCCCAATAATATATTCCACTCCGAAGAAATAAAAAATCCTCACTTGGCGAAATTATTAAAATAGAAATAGTTAAGAAATGATAACTTTAAAATTATGTTTTAAGGTCTCTCAGTTAACAGTGTCTGCTATCAACCCCCCCCCCCCCCCCGACTAATCATATCACCCTCACCGAAGAATGGGAAAGTCATCATCTGACGAAATATTGTAACTGAACTGAGCTGTGCATCCGTGTCCACCCAGAAACAGATGGATAGCATTAATGTGTAATGATAAGTAAAAGTGGCCAGTGTAACAGCTACCACATCACCCATCCAGTATCAGTACTACTGCTACCACTACCGCCACCACTTTCAGAACAAAAACAAAAAACAGTCACTACTGTCTGTGCAGGTCGGTGCAGCCATAGGGGTTAGCGCAGCATGATGTGGCCACGGACTGTTTAGTGTAATTGAGCTTCCAACAAAGAAAAAAAAACTCTATCACCTAAAAGTGATGGAACCCACAGTAATAGTCCGTTCTATACTCACAAATAGCGGGAGGATGGGGGGGGGGGGGATATCTCCACCCGTCATCTCCCCTCTCTGAAGGGACGAATGTTAAATGACCTTGGCATCCGTGTCCACCCAAAGTAAACTGGACTGTAAGCAGTCTTAGTTAACAGCTTTTGTCATCTACGAATAATTTATTATCGAGTGAAGCGTCGCGGGGAGGATAAATAGAACTTTACTGAAATCTGATGTCTTTGGGCGAAAGGTGCAGATATCGCAGCCTAGTTGTAAATCACAACACAACATACCAACAGCCCTCTTGAGGGAAAAAGAAAAATTAGCGCCCAGTGGGTAATTGAACACAGGTCAACCACGTGAAGGGCGGAATACGTACACATATACTACCTAAGACTGAAGAGTTTGGGTCCGATATCGCAGCCTAGCTGTAAACCACAACACAACGTTCCAACTATCCTCTCAAAGGCGAACGAAGATTACCTGTGACATGACCAGCATGTTGTCACCGCTATCGCCGGCTAGCTGTAAACTCCCAAATCGAGCGGAAAGAAGACTTAGATATCGCTGCCTAGCTGTGAACCACAACATAAAGTGCCAAGCGCTTAGTTAAAGGCAAAAAAAAAAAAATATTTTTTATCACCCAGCGGGGCATTGATCACCAGTCACCTATGTAACACGCAAAATAGACAACTACGCTACCAAGGACTCAAGCATCTGCCCATCTATATCTCCCTCTCCGAATGATTGAAACATTATTATGTGGCAAAATTGTTAAAAATAAAAATAGTTAAGAAATGAGAAATGTAAAAAAATGTTTTAAGCTCTCTCAGTTAACCGTGTCTGGCATCAACCCCCCTCGACACCCACCCCCCCCCCCCCCCCCCCCACCCCCGTGACAATCATATCGTCCTCTACGAAGTATGGGGAAGTCATCGCCTGACGAAATATTGTTGTTAAATTGAGCTTGGCATCCGTGTCCACCCAAACAAAAATAGTTAGCATTAATCTGTACTGAGAAGTAAATGTGGCCAGTGTAACAGCTACCACATAACCCATCTAGTACCAGTACTACTGCTACCACTACAATCACCACCGTCACAACAACACAAAACGGTAACTACTGTCTGTAAGGTCGTTGTAGCCAGAGCAGTTGGCGCCGCAATCTGTCGCCTTGGACTGTTTAGTTTAAATGTGACCCGACATAAAACTCCCTCACCTAATCGGTGATGGAACCCACAGTAATATTCACTGATTTAAAAAAATGTACACTTTACACACAAATAGCGGAAAAAAATCCTGCACTCGTCATCTCTCCTTGTCCGAAGTGACGATGTTTAATTAACCTTGGCATCCGTGTCGACCAAGACCAAATTGGATTGTAAGCCTTCTTAGTTAATAGTTTCTGTCATTAACGAATAGTTTTTGATTGAGTGAAGCGTCGGGGGGAGGCTAATGTGGACTGTACTTAAATCGGATGTCTTTGGGCGTAAGGCGCAGATGTCGCAACGTAGCTGTAAACCACAACACAACGTGCCAATCGCCGCTTTGGGGTAAAAAGAAAAATTAGTACCCAGCGGGGAATCGAACACGTGAAGGGCGGAATACTTACAACTCTACTACCGAAGACTGAAGACTTTAGGTCAGATATCGCAGCCTAGCTGTAAACCACAACACAACTGGTCAACCGCCCTCTCAAGGGCGAACGAATATTACCTTTGACATGAACATTGAGCATCACGTCGCCGCTATCGCAGGCTAGCTGTAAACCCCAAAATCGAACGGAAAAAAGCGTGGATACTGCAGCCTAGCTATAAACCACAACAAAACGTGGCAGCCACCCAGTTAGAGGCCCAAAAAAAAAATTATATGACCCAGCGGGGAATCGAACCCCTATCACCCGAGTAAAAAAGCAAAATGTTTACAACTAATAACTACGCTACTGAATACTCAAGCGTTTTGTAGAAATAAAAGTATATAATAATAATGTGAAGGTCGGTGTTGCACAGTCAAAGGTGGCCAATTCATTCAAAATAAATCCGGGCGGGCAACGAAACAAATAATGATTTGACCGTCGCTGAAGCTACGTCGCTCGTGGTTTGTGCGATTTTATGACAAAAAATCACGCTTTGAGTCAGAGGCAACGTTGTGTGCAAATTTGAAAGTAATCGGTTCAGTAGTTTCAGAGTTTAGAGCTAACGACACCGGAAAATTAAGATTTTTATTAATATAGATATACAGTGTTTCTATAGCCTCAAGGCTGTAATTCTTTTTATTTCTGAACTCTGTAAACAAAAAGACATGATTCTGACACTGCAGCTGCCCTGGCAAAACAGGCACGTGTGCGTGTGATTGTTGTTGAATTTGTACTTTAGTTATAAAATATTAACTTATCTGCTTCACTGATGTAATTGTTACTGTAGTATGTACCTGACGAGATACAACAAAATATGCTAGGCAATAAATTGTGCAATCTATTGTTTGTGTCTTCGATGTTCAGAAAAAACTTGTAAAATCTTAACAGCAAAAATATTTTAATGTTTATTATTGACATAACTTCCAGTGAATCAACAAGAGGTGAGGAAAAGATGCTGGTGTTGGATAGGACACACATTAGGAAAACCTTATAAAAATACAGCTAGATTGTGGGAATATTACCTTGTGAGGCCCTAATCTCTTCTACAGTGCAACTCTCATACTACTGTTCAAATGCTATTATCATCATCATCATCAGGTGCCTTGCCGACTGGCGTGGGCAATCATGCCTCTCTACAATCTGCAATCTCCTGCAGCATGTATGAGTTCGTGTGCCGACACACCTTCATGCAACAAGACTCAAGAATCTTCTCTCGTTGTCTTCCTCTTTCCCTCCTTCCACAGATCTTTCCAGTGGTCACAACATGTTCTTTTTTCCCTCTTCTCATAACATGGCTAAAAAAATGATGACTGTCTCCTTCTGATGTCTGTGACAAGTCGTCTTCAATCTCCTGCTCTTTCAAAATCTCTTTTTGCTCTTGTGTATTCTAAGAATTCTTCTTGAAACCATATCTCTAAGGCCTCAAGAAATTGTTTGGCCTGTCTACCGATTGTCCAGGATTCACAGCCATATGTTATATGGCTATACAAATGTTAAAAGCTACTAAAAACACTTCAACATATAGAAATGTTATAACATAAAGTAACCAATAAAATGAAAGTCAAAACATATTCAAATGCAGCACAATAATAAATTCACAAATAACTGATGTTGATGAAAAATAATGACACCTACACTGATACTTTTTGAGTCGGCACCCACGGGTTGTGACCTTTTGTGCAAAAGAAGCTTGGCTCTGCTCAGAAAGAAAAAAAGAGAAACTATCTTAAATAATTATCATCATCATCTATCAGGGGCCTCCTCCATAGTGAAGGTTGGCTGCAATAGATCTCCAACATGTCCTGTCTCTTGTCCTGTCTCTGAGACTGCTGCCCATCCAACTCTTGTTGTTGTCCTCCCACTTGTATTGATGTCCACCTCTTAGTCTCTTGCCTTTGAGCTTTCCCTCCAGTATGGTTTTTAAAAGAATGCTAACATTATTTTAGAACATCATTTAAAGCCTATGGCTAAGCACCAGCAATCAAAGTCGACGGTAACCATACTGTATGGAATGGTGGAAGACATGCGTCACCACACAGACTTCATACAGGCCGGTGGTGGAATGATGGAAGACATGCGTCACACCACAGACTTCATACAGGCTGGTGGTGGAACGATAGAAGACATGCGTCACACCACAGACTTCATACAGGCCAGTGGTGGAACGATAGAAGACATGCGTCACACCACAGACTTCATACAGGCTGGTGGTGGAACAGTGGAAGAGATGCGTCACACCACAGACTTCATACAGGCCAGTGGTGGAACAGTGGAAGACGTGTGTCACACCACAGACTTCATACAGGCCAGTGGTGGAACGATAGAAGACATGTGTCACACCACAGACTTCACACAGGCCAGTGGTGGAACGATAGAAGACATGCGTCACACCACAGACTTCATACAGGCCAGTGGTGGAATGATAGAAGACATGCGTCACACCACAGACTTCATACAGGCCAGTGGTGGAATGATAGAAGACATGCGTTACGCCACAGACTTCACACAGGCCAGTGGTGGAATGATAGAAGACATGCGTCACACCACAGACTTCATACAGGCCAGTGGTGGAATGATAGAAGACATGCGTCACACCACAGACTTCATACAGGCTGGTGGTGGAACAGTGGAAGACATGCGTCACATCACAGACTTCATATAGGCTGGTGGTGGAACAGTGGAAGACATATGTCACAACACAGACTTCATACAGGCTGGTGGTGGAACAGTGGAAGACGTGTGTCACACCACAGACTTCATACAGGCCAGTGGTGGAATGATAGAAGACATGTGTCACACCACAGACTACACACAGGCCAGTGGTGGAACGATAGAAGACATGCGTCACACCACAGACTTCATACAGGCCAATGGTGGAATGATAGAAGACATGCGTCACACCACAGACTACATACAGGCCAGTGGTGGAACAATAGAAGACATGCGTCACACCACAGACTTCATACAGGCTGGTGGTGGAACAGTGGAAGACATATGTCACAACACAGACTTCATACAGGCTGGTGGTGGAACAGTGGAAGACATATGTCACATCACAGACTTCATACAGGCTGGTGGTGGAACAGTGGAAGACATATGTCACATCACAGACTTCATACAGGCTGGTGGTGGAACAGTGGAAGACATGCGTCACATCACAGACTTCATACAGGCTGGTGGTGGAACAGTGGAAGACATATGTCACAACACAGACTTCATACAGGCCAGTAGTGGAACGATAGAAGACATGTGTCACACCACAGACTACACACAGGCCAGTGGTGGAACAATAGAAGACATGCGTCACACCACAGACTTCATACAGGCCGGTGGTGGAATGATGGAAGACATGCGTCACACCACAGACTACATACAGGCCAGTGGTGGAACAATAGAAGACATGCGTCACACCACAGACTTCATACAGGCTGGTGGTGGAACAGTGGAAGACATATGTCACAACACAGACTTCATACAGGCTGGTGGTGGAACAGTGGAAGACATGCGTCACATCACAGACTTCATACAGGCTGGTGGTGGAACAGTGGAAGACATATGTCACAACACAGACTTCATACAGGCTGGTGGTGGAACAGTGAAAGACATGCGTCACATCACAGACTTCACACAGGCTGGTGGTGGAACAGTGAAATACATGCGTCACACCACAGACTTCATACAGGCTGGTGGTGGAACAGTGGAAGACATATGTCACAACACAGACTTCATACAGGCTGGCGGTGGAACAGTGAAAGACATGCGTCACATCACAGACTTCATACAGGCTGGTGGTGGAACAGTGGAAGACATATGTCACACCACAGACTTCATACAGGCCAGTGGTGGAATGATAGAAGACATGCGTCACACCACAGACTACATACAGGCCAGTGGTGGAACGATAGAAGACATGCGTCACACCACAGACTTCATACCGGCTGGTGGTGGAACAGTGGAAGACATATGTCACAACACAGACTTCATACAGGCTGGTGGTGGAACAGTAAAAGACATACGTCACATCACAGACTTCATACAGGCTGGTGGTGGAACAGTGGAAGACATATGTCACAACACAGACTTCATACAGGCTGGTGGTGGAACAGTGAAAGACATGCGTCACATCACAGATTTCATACAGGCTGGTGGTGGAACAGTGAAAGACATATGTCACAGCACAGACTTCATACAGGCTGGTGGTGGAACAGTGAAAGACATGCGTCACATCACAGACTTCATACAGGCTGGTGGAACAGTGAAAGACATGCGTCACATCACAGACTTCATACAGGCTGGTGGTGGAACAGTGAAAGACATGCGTCACACCACAGACTTCATACAGGCTGGTGGTGGAACAGTGGAAGACATATGTCACAACACAGACTTCATACAGGCTGGTGGTGGAACAGTGGAAGACATATGTCACAACACAGACTTCATACAGGCTGGTGGTGGAACAGTGAAAGACATGCGTCACATCACAGACTTCACACAGGCTGGTGGTGGAACAGTGAAATACATGCGTCACACCACAGACTTCATACAGGCTGGTGGTGGAACAGTGGAAGACATATGTCACAACACAGACTTCATACAGGCTGGTGGTGGAACAGTGGAAGACATATGTCACAACACAGACTTTATACAGGCTGGTGGTGGAACAGTGGAAGACATATGTCACAACACAGACTTCATACAGGCTGGTGGTGGAACAGTGAAAGACATGCGTCACATCACAGACTTCACACAGGCTGGTGGTGGAACAGTGAAATACATGCGTCACACCACAGACTTCATACAGGCTGGTGGTGGAACAGTGGAAGACATATGTCACAACACAGACTTCATACAGGCTGGTGGTGGAACAGTGGAAGACATATGTCACAACACAGACTTCACACAGGCTGGTGGTGGAACAGTGAAATACATGCGTCACACCACAGACTTCATACAGGCTGGTGGTGGAACAGTGGAAGACATATGTCACAACACAGACTTCATACAGGCTGGTGGTGGAACAGTGGAAGACATATGTCACAACACAGACTTCATACAGGCTGGTGGTGGAACAGTGGAAGACATGCGTCACAACACAGACTTCATACAGGCCAGTAGCCTTCTCCACTGAACACCACTGGTAGAGAGAACACAAAGAAGAAGAATACTGTCTATTTTGTTGACATCATCCAAAGACATGGCACTCTTCTATTCTAGTGTTATTTTCTTCTCCTGGCTGTTATCATTTATATCTTTCTGTTGGCCTAAAGGTCTTGAATTCAAGTCCACACGGTTTTTTCCCCTTCCAAATAAACGGACATACGCCCTAGGTCACTAGCCTAAAATGGGTATCAAATAATTTCCTGGGAAGTCAAGAAGTAAAGTTGACCACATCACATACTGAGCGCTGATTTTTATTCCTATTCAACATTCTGAGCCCTTGAGGTTCTATGCTATAAATATGTCTCATCTCCATCATCTCTGCTGACCACATATCCAACACAGTGCAAGAATAGTATGATACAAAAGGGGGGGGGGGGTGTTGCCAGACAAGAGCACTATGCAGGAAGCCAAAGAAGAATAAGAAACTACCACAGAACTGGTGTTGACAGCCGCTACTCGCTGCAGGATTTTTTGAGGAGGGCATCAGAGCACTTATGGGCTGAGTGATTCAATGTGTAAAGAGGATAATCTGTTAACTACAAGACTAACCTATGTTGTCTACTGGTCTATTAAAAATAAAACCCAAGAACCATATTCATAATAAACCACTGATGTAAAGGACTCTTTTTTTACTTATTCACTTACAAATCAATAATAACATAAACACAACAAAACCCTTGACCCGTCATGGTCATAGAGGTGTAGCGATGGAGGCACTAGCACACAAAACCCACCATCTGTCTCTGTCTTCTATTTGATAAATAAGTGTATGATAACTTAGTCCTGTCCAATTCTTGATGTTGTCATTCCAGGTTTCAGGTTCTTTTTTTGCCCTCCACTTCTTCAATTACCACCCCCCCCCTTTTTCCTAGTTTGTGACGTTTCACCACTGCCAAGAGAGGCTCCTGATGTCCCGCAAATTTGTATCTCACATACTTATTAGTTTTCTGTTCTAAACAACTAATTTGTAAAATGCTTCTACAGCATTTACATTTGAAAGCCTGAATCCGCCCTTCCATTTCCACAGTGAGAGTCTCTCACATGTGTGTAAGAAAAAAGACAATACCAGTGATTTGTGTATATAATGACCTTAACTGTGATGCTGATTTTGCTCAATAATTTCAGTTTGTTAATATGAAACTAGTGACTAAAAGCAACAACCACTGAAATAAATACAGAACACAGAGAAAGAATGAAAACAGACATGAAGATAAAACATAGGAAAGAATAAAGAAGAATGAGACAGCAAGAAAGAACAAAACAAAGAAGGACAAAGAGAGAAAAGATAACAAAGAATGAAAGCCAACACTGGAAAGTCAAACAGAAAAAGAAACCAAAAATTATTTTTAAAGTCATTACAAAGAAAAACAAACAGTGCTGACAACATTCAGACATGAATTTGTGAAAGAAAAAATCAGATGAAACATACAAGGACATGATTACATAGCAACAAACAGAAAGGAATCACAATAAGAAGACAGAACAAATAAGATAAAGACAAATTACTCACCTAACTTTCTTTGTCTTACCATCCCTGCCACTACTATCTTCTCCAATCCCAGAATCCTCCTCTCCCGAACTCTGATGATGCTGTCGACGCAAGTTTCTCCCGCGACTACCCAAAGAACCAACAGTATCGTTAGCCTCCTCTGGATCTTCATTCTCGTCAGGTATGAAAACACTAGCTCCAAACAGCGACTCGGCGTCAAAGTTCTCTTCAACATCCTCTCCGTCACACAGCCCATCCACATCCAGATCCACAGAAACCAGCTCTGTTGACCTCCGTTGTGGAGCATTTCTAAAAATAGAGAACGTAGCAAAAATAAACAGGATGAGTGAGACTAACTATGACCACCACTTTCTTGACCGGCATGGACAGGTCATCCATCATTCTACAACCCAGGACAGGGGAAAACTAACCCTAACAGGCTGTACCTGACATGTAGGCTGTGTGTACAAATCGCAGCATGTTTCCTGCAAGACTGTCTCTTGAACAGCCTGAACAGCCTTTTAACTCTTTCACCCTGCGAAAATGGGTGTAGAAATTCCCGGGGAATATCCATAAAAAACTTATACAGGTCACTAATAAATGGGTTTACCATTAGTTATTGACATTTAAAAAAAATGTATTCTAAATATAAAAAGATATACAAAAGGGGTAATCAACACATGAACAGAAAGAAGCATTAAATGGAATACATTCTCTGGGGCCAAAATAACAATATGTTTTGGGTATGGCGGATCCACAACCTCTACCACTGAGGCTTATGAGAAAATCTGACATAAACCTGGCTTTAAAAAATCGTAAAGTAAGAAACTTTGGGGTAATGATGTAGAGGTAATTATGGCTTATGACCAAAATAGTTACCTCTTTGAGACCAAGGGAATGCATACCACGCTAACTGGTTACAACTCAGCGGCCCAGGTGTGACAAGCGAAGGTTTTTAATTTACAGCTGATCGGTAATAAAACACGGACCGCTCAATTTCCTTTTGTGTTCTTTGTGTTTGATATCAGGCCAGCTCATTTGAAAACATAGTTTAAATGCCAAAAATATAGTATATTTGTGAGGTTTACCAAGTTAATAAGTGTTTGTTTGAAAACAATATGGTCACCGAACAGTATTCTAAATGCATGCCAATACGATTTACGGCTTTAGAAGCCACAAATTTAAGTAAAGTAAGTGTTTATTAGATTTATCCAAAGTTAGGTACAGTGTTTCAGTCATTTATAGAGTCAAACTTTGATGAGGGATATGTCTAATGTGTACCTCATGTGAAGGGTACAACAACAGAAAGTCAGCTGACAAAAATGGAATAAACATTAGTGAAAAGATTATTTTCTTCTCTGTCAGTTAATTCCAGTGCTATTCAACTTATTATTTAGGAACATAGCTACAAAATCACAGGCAAATTGAGTGTTATATAAACTTCGTTTTGTGTGTGAAGATACTAACTTTCTTGGAAAGTCAGTTTTCTTTATCTAATAATGGGGCTGTGTTATGATACTTCGAAAGTTTCACTGGAACATTTTCTAATGCACAGATTGATTTTATATTTTACTTTTACATTACTCAGTGGTTCATATTTATTTGTGATTCAGTTTAGATATATTTTAGCAAGTTTTCCTTGAGTGGCATGGTGGTAAGTGGAAATTTTCATATTTCATGTTACTAATTCCTGTAAACATACCGTCTGTTTATTTACTAATATTTAATAACTAACGCAATTATTTGTTGTAGCTGTACTCTATTATTATTCCCCAACAATCCCTAGTTACTTTGATGTATAATATGTGAATGTTGCTTGGCAGTTGAATTAGTATTGTCTGTTTTAATGTTACACTTGTGAAATCAAATAATTGCATTACCACCCCTTTGGTCTCTGATGATAAACCCTCTGGGACTCAAAGAGTTAATGTAGTCACTAGAACATTAACTGTAGCCATTAGGACATAAACATTTATTGTAGCCACTAGGACAAACATTCACTATAACCACTATGACACATTTACTGTAGCCACTATGATTTATTTATACCTTACCAGGACAAATTTAATTTAGCCAAAGGACATATTTACTGTAGCTACCAGGTCACATTTACTGCAGCTACAAGGACAGTTACTGTAGCTACTAGGACAAACATCGATTGTAGCCACAATGACATAAACATATGTAGCCACTAGGACACATTTACTACAGCTACTAGGACAAACATTAACTACTGACACAATGACACAAACATCTGTAGCCACTAGGACACATTTACTGTAGCTACATGGACAAACATCAGTTGTAGTCAGAATGACACAAACATCTGTAGCCACTAGGACACATTTACTGTAGCTACAAGGACACAGTTACTGTAGCTGCTAGGACAAACATAAATTTTTGCCACAATGATGTGCAGCCACTAGGACACATTTACTGTAGCTACAAGGACTCAGTACTGCAGCTACTAGGACATATTTACTGTAGCCACTAGAACATATTTACTGTAGCTACAAGGACATAATTACCGTAGTTACTAGGACATATTTACTGTATCTACTAGGACATATTTACTGTATCTACTAGGACAAACATTAATTGTAGCCACAATGATACAAACATCTGTAGCCACTAGGACATACTTACTGTAGCTGGGACAAACATCAATTGTAGCAACACGGACACAAACATCTGTAGCTACTAGGACACATTTACCACAGTCCAACTAGAGCACAAACAACTGACAACATAAAACAAAAGTTACGAGGATCGCTGCCCCCCAACAGGCACCTCATCACTCACCGTCCTCCAGGGAAGTAGTTGGACAAGACTGACCCCTGCTTGTGAAGCTCCTTCCTGTTGGAAGCTGTGCTGGACTGTCTGGATGGTACCGGTTCAACATCCTTTATCTGTAGCAGACAACAACAAGTTTGTGATAGTTTCAGAACTGGTCACTCTTTCAATTATATCTGTGCCCACTTGACTTACAGCCGAGTTCCATTCCAACTAGGAGGTCATAGGCTAATTCAGACTTCCTGTCTAATGTGGAGAACTAAACATGGCAGAATGCTAAGCTTAACAGTTATTTTTCCTTCCGACAGCGCTTTTCTAATGCAGTTTCCATACATGGACAGAAGTGTACAGTGTCGCCGCCTAAGCTAGTTTAGTGCTTGGTGCAGCACTGTGAGCTGTATTTTTCATGTAGAATGCCCTTCACTTGTGAAGTGGTTGAGTCATGGTATTCAATATTGCTGGTAGCCGGTATATGTGTGGGCTGACAAAATACCTTATGTAATAATTTTACAAGTGTATAGCCAACTTATTGTGACCGACAACTTCTGTCAACGACAAATGGCATTTCTGGTGGCGAAGGTTGGCTCTGGCACCTCTAGTAACTGCCATATGTATTTACTCCGTGCAGATATTTCTGGATTTTGCCAGAACCAATTGTTTGTTAACCAGTTGTTTAAATGGGACAGTGAGGAAACTTTCATTTGAAGGAAGGGAGGCAAGTACGGGATGACCCGATTACAGGGAAGCTGAAACCTCGACTTTAAATCAAATTTATATTTTTCAACATATTTACATTCAAATGAGTTCCCAAAAATTGTACATAAAACACAATAATTCATTCTATGCGCTATAATTATCTATGTACTAAAATTATTGAATATAATGTGAGGAATACATAATATATACTCTATCGCACCAGTTCTTGGACCTTTTTGACCCTACCAATACAGCTATCTGATGATAAAACTTTTGATTTAAGAATCAACATCATAGCACTCAGGACACTCCCATCAGCACTCCATCCCCATCTTCAGCAGCAAGCGAAGAGTTTCATTTCCTATGATACCAGTAACTTTCTGACTATATCCGGCTCGCCTTACCCTTGAGATTTTGGCATCAGCTATCTTACAGTATTACTCATTATTAATTTTGTTGTGGTCGTAAGTTGCACAGAACGCAATTCAGGGAGATGTATATGTTCAGGACACTCAGAGGTTGGCTGCTTTAATTTCCGTGACATTTCCTATGCCCATTTTTGGGTGGGTCGACCACACCATGTGTAGTGAAACTAATGAACTCACAGTGAGTTGCCGTGTACAGATAGAGTTGAGAGGTTTCTTAACATTCCGTGTCTAACAGCAAGAGAGAAGTTCAACAAAACTGAGAGACAAGATTACATGTCTTATACCCAGTTTTACAACAGTTACCAAAACAGACTGCAACAATTACAGTTACATACATACATAGGCCAAGCAGAGATAGAGAAACAAGAGACAAATGGACAAGAACAGTTGGGAGTGTGTCCTTTATGGGACACTGCAAACACTTCCAAACACTCATCTATCATACAGCAATCGCATTTGATCTACAAAGCATATTAAGCCCAATCATGAAAGTAATAACAGCTATCTACTGACATTTGCATATCTGCACATCACATACACGCCGATAGACATCATCCACTGCGCAGTGAGATTCCCAGATAGAAGGGTAGCAGTTTAAAGGCAGAAAAAACACTAAAGCATGGATGCAAAATGTACACTTTCAAATTTACAGACAAAAGAAATCAGAGGAAATCAACTCTAACAAACTATAATGGTCAGCAAGTGAATTATTTTATAACTACAGCTCCAAAACAAACATAACCAGAAAGTATTTAATTTCCTGTGTCAATTTTTAAAGATAACAGCAAATAAAAATATCTAAAGCAGGATGGTGGTGGTAATGATGATGATTAATTTACTTACATCAACTACAAAATATTTTTCTGTGTATAAAATTATTTTTCTACAAATATTGAAAGTTTAAAATTAGGGGGCATCTTATACACTGAATAATAATATAATATTGATTCCCTAATTTTAGGGATAAAAAAATGAAATGCAAATGGCCATCCAAACATTATAAAAGCTTTAAAAAAAAACAGGAGTCAGTTTATACATGGTGGCATCTTATAAGGGAATAGTATGGTAGTTATTTTAAGCAATCCAGTCTCACTGCTACAGAGAATAAAACCCAGGCTATATACTTCAATGGTAAGCATGAATACTTACCCCCCACGCCCCTTTAAATGTGTCTTTTGTTGTTGTACTATTACTTCTTGGTACATCTCACGTTTTCAGGCCCAGAAAGAGAGTGACTTCTCTTCCCATTCATAAATTGTCATGTCACAGGGCTTGAGCTATGTTTGGGGGTGTTAAGCTTAGTGATCAGCCAAGAACATACAGTATTTCACTAGTTGTCTCCGGCCGGTGATATCGCGTGTTCTATATTACAGAATATGAGCACTTTTAATGGTCCCAAAACATGCAGAACTGGCCCTAACCCCAACCCTCCTAAGTACCTGAGAGAGTGCAGCCCATGTCCAGTTCTGCATATTTCAGAACATGTGATATCACCAGCCACAACAACTAGTAAAATGCTGTGTGTGTTGGCCGGTCACTAAGCTTGACACCCCTGCCCTGCGACATGACAATTTATGAATAGGAAGGGAAGTCACTCTCTTTCTGGGCCCGAAGTTGTAATTGCTTCCTTACCAAAAGTAATTGGAACGTATTTAGTTAAACTCCCCAATTGAAAAAATGAAATCAAAATTTAAAAAACCCACTACATAAAGAAACCCTGACATCGTGATAAGACACAAATCAGGAAGCTGAACAAAAAAGGGTGAGGGGGGGGGGGGGGTGTGAACTAGTATACATAATTATAATTAATGACACGACATTGCAACCATCATCAATGACTGACAGCTACTTGTATTAACACATATATAAGCTGTTCGTCTTTTTAAAGTTCATGCTGTGTGGCGTTGGTAGTCATGTTTATCCACAACTTTCTGTCTCATGTACTTTCAATCAACTCTGACACAAATGATCTTCCATGCCATGATGTCAAACTGTCTAGCATCTGTTCTCTTGGTCTCCCTCTGCTCTCTGCCTCTCCTCCCCTCCAACTTTCCTATCGTCACGATGTACTCCAGTTTTCTCCTTCTCATCACATGATCAAAGAATGTCTCTTTCTGATGTGGACAAAGTTCTCTTCATGAGTCAGTTTCTTTCAAGACATCTTTATTACTCTTTTTATCTGTCCAAGGCATTCTCATCATTGGTCTATAAAACCACATAAGCTGTTAAGTTATGTTATTTAGTCCGGGTTTTAAACTGCATATTCAGAAAATGGCTGCTGTTCAGTTGCCACTCAACTGCTACAGTGCATTTCCAAACTCATGCCACCACTCTAATAAATATCTCCAAAACTCCGATATGGACCAACATGAATATTTCGCATGTGGCCTTACATTTCCTATATCCTTATGATTCTATCATTTACAACTGCACAGATGCTGCTGTTTTCTTAAAGTGGCAAATTTCTTTGAGCTTTGTTTGACTAATAATTTCTGTACCCCTAAAAATAAAATAACAGTAATTGAAACACATATGGAGATTGTTGGAAATCAGTTAGCATGTGCAGCGATGCATGATGATTACTGTGATCCCCGAATCAGCCATGTGTACATGTGGACTAGCACCTGAAACAACAGATCATGTCCTCCAAGACTGTACCAAATACAACATATCAAGGCAAAATTTTTGGCCAAGAGAAACATCAGTTCAAGTCACACTTTACGGGTCGCTGAGTGAATTACGAAAGACAGTGAAGTCTATACTAGAGACAACATTGCAGATATAGATAATCTATTTCAAGCGAAAGAAGAAGAAGAAGAAGACTATGATAGCCTCTTTCCCACTCACGGGAGACTTATGGTGGAGATAACCAGCTGAGAGTCAAACGCCTCTGACACCCAAGCAATCTGATGTTTTGAGAAGTTCTCCTTACTCAATTTACAGTAAGCATACTGATTGTTTGCTTTGAATCGGCGTCTGTTTTTTCATAAACAGCAAACAAGACTAGACATTTGTTTACTTCTAAAAACAATTCTCACAAGGACCTGATTGTTAACAGGCTGCATGCCAAATTTCAGCAACTTCACCAAATAGTTACTAAGTTACAGATGTGTACAGTTCAGCAGTACTTCTGGAGCAGACTACAGTATGACTTAGGCAGTATTATGAGTGCAGGCTGAGAATTTTGTCATAACTGCTGCTTTCTTCAACAATGAATTGCAAATTTAGGTTTGGCCAGTTGAAGTTTAACTCTAGTGGGTGCCTTATGCATTTAATACATGTGCTTGTTGCTGGTTGTTTTGAGGACTACAGCCTATTTCAATTTTCACTGGGTACAATGAAGAGAATTTTGTCTAGTTTTTGCTGGCTCAGGAATGGATCAACTGTAGGAAAGTTCAAACAGTGACCAACAACTCAGACCAAACAGCACATATTTTTTTTGTATGGATAACTCCTTACACAGAAGTTGCCGTGGTGTAGCAACTAGATGCTCGCTTGTCAACTGGAAGGTCGCGGGTCCAGGTCCTGGCAGAAATGGACTTTGAGAAAGAAACAAAAATGACCTTAGCTCCCAGGTTGACCCAGCCTTGAGTGGGTACCAGGTGCAGTTCTTGGAAGTTTATAAGGGCGGCCAGTGTGATGCCCAATGGTCTATAAATATTGGTCTAAAAGCATAGAAAATGTTCCTTCAATTTAAAATTATTTTTTTTAACTAAACAGCCCTAATGTCTTGGGTTCAAATCCACAAGAGTGCAGATTTGTGTTCAAAACTGAGCTCAGCTCATGTTTTTAGGAATGGGAAAAATGTGGGCGATGGGAGTTGATGAAGAGAATGGATCACATCACCTCAAATGTAATGGCTTAGAAATTTTAAGGGCCACAAATTTCACACATACAAGCTTCTAGTGTGGGTTCATGAATCCCAAGGGGAAGGGGGAGGAAGGGGCAGACCAACTGCGCCCAATAAGTATGTCGTAAAAGAAAATTATTAAGGGACTTGTTGAAATGGGATGTCCTGGGCTGACCGGCACAGATATCATTGCAGTAAAGCACAACACAGAGGAGCAGCTGGCCAAACGATTAGAACGCTGGGCTCTCATGCGAGAGACCTGGGATTGAACCATCAGGAAGGCTGGGGATTTTTTTCTGTTGGGGGCAAAATAAAACCCTCCCCTGCACAGTCATGGCGACAGCACTAGCCATGAGGCCGTAAATCCTCAGGCTCAAAGACCCCCATACACTGCAAAAATGGTTTCACAAAGGCAGAGATCAGTGTATGAAAAGCACAACTTAACTTGCCAACTGCTCTTTCAAGGGAGCACAAAAGAGCAAGAAGAAAATGTGTCAGTGAAAGTAAAGTTAATGAATATTTGTAGTTGCTGAATAATTGATGTTGCTGACTTTGGCTCCCAGGTTGTCCCAGCTTTAGGTGAAGTCCTGGGAAGTAAAGGTGACTGGTGTGATGTTGACCATATCACCCACCCAGTGTCGATTGGTCTATAAAATGTAAGTTTGCCCTATACGCCCACTAAGCCTAAAGGCATGCAAAAGGGTCCTTCACTTCACATTGGTTGTCAGTAAGACTCTCTCTCTCTCTCTCTCTCTCTCTCTCCAGCTATCTCACTTTCTCTTGCACTCATACACTTTCACATGCACTCACTAACACATGCACACACTCTCACCCACAGTCTCATTTGTGCACATACACTAACTCACAGACACACACAGACACGCTCGCTCACTCTCTCACGGTCTTACATACACATTCACTCATATACACAAACACTATTACTCATACTCTCTCTCCCCCTAACACACACTGTCATTCATACACATAAACACCCTCACTCACACACAGTCCTACTCACATTTTCACTAACACATACACTTTAACTCACAAATACTTTCAGTCCCACACATTCATTTACTCACTCACAAACATATGCTCGCATTCATGCAGCTAACTCTCACTCACAAATACTTTCAGTCCCACACATTCATTTACTCACTCACAAACATATGCTCGCATTCATGCAGCTAACTCTCACTCACAAATACTTTCCATCACACACCCACTCACACATTCATGGACACACATTCACTAACACTCACACGGCTCTTCTTCGATCCCCATTTTATGGCGGCCAAACAAATACCCTAACAGGGCCTCAGTCCTATGCAAAATAATGAGTGCCTGTCGAGGAACAAATCTTGGCAAAACTAGGATCGGCTCCGAATAATGAAACAAATGCTCTAACAGGGTCTCAGCAATATGTTAATTGCAGACCTGTTTCTGCGACTATGCTGCACCACTGACAGTATTCCCTGTGCCGCGTGTAGCGGTGCGGATAGGGGGCCTAACTAGATGGCTAGGACTCACGAGCAGCAGTCACCGCATCTCCTGCAACTTCCTCCAATTTATTTGCTCGTGAGTCCCAGGCATCTAGTTTAGATCCCTATCCGTGCCGGGCGTAGTGGTGCAGGGGATACACTCAGCGGCAAGTTTAATCGGAAGAACACTATCGCTAATCTGCGTCAGAGCACGTGTTCTCCCCGCCATGTCACTATTATTGTCTGTAATGCTGCATGTCGTGAAAATTGTCAAGTAATCCTAGTTTTGCCACCATGTGTTTATCGGAGGAAGTCCGCATTTTACACACGACTGAGGCCCTGTTAGGGTATTTGTCTGGCCGCTATAATATGGGGACAAAGATCGAAGGAAAGCCCATTCACACAAATAAATGCATAATATCCCACACACTTCTTCTGTTCCACCATTTACCTCAGTAGGGTGTGTAGTTAAATCTTCCACCAGTTTGCCAGTGGGTTTAACTGAACACTTCTACTCACAAACATTCCCATTTCCCATTTCCTACATGTTAGAGCACAGATTTATCTCATATTTAAACAAAATCTCAGAAAAAGGAACACATTAGTGATGACTGCCTGGCCATCTTGACCAGAACATACAAATACATTTACACTAAAGCACAATTACAACCATAGACACCTAAAAACAAAATCACAACCAAAAATCAAGAGGAACCAAAATATCCTGCCTGCCTCCTCAACACATGAGAAAAACAAAATATAAGGGACACTGGTGGATCAGGGAGGGGTAGAGACTTTTAACTACCCCCTGAAACTGGAACTATCAATACCTCTGAATCTAATGACAGTGTTCCCTCCTAGGCAGCCATCGGGCAGAGGTGGGGGAAAATAGATGGTATGTGGTAATATCTAATTGTAATGGTTTTTATAAAACAGATGTCATAATGAAATTAATAGCTAGATGTAATGGTTTCCATAAAACCAATGGTATACAAACATATCTGGTTATAATGGTTTTCATAAAATTTATGGTATACAAACATATCTGGTTATAATGGTTTTCATAAAATTGATGGTATCCAAACATATTTGGTTGTAATGGTTTTCATAAAACAGATTGTACACAGTAATATCAAGTTGTAACTGTTGTCATGAAATAGATGGTAAATTTTAATTTCAAGGTTTAACAGCTTTCATGTAATAGATGGTATACAGTCATTTCTAGTTAAAATGATTTTCATGAAACAGGTGGTCTACGGTAATATCTACATGTAACAGTTTTCTTATAACAGTATACAGTCATATCTAGTTTAAACTGTTTTCTTATAAGAGAGGGTATATAGTAATTTCAAGCTGTAATGGCTTTTGTATAACAGATGGATTATGGTAATAGCAAGTTGAAATGGTTTTCATGAAAAAGATGGTATAGTGCAACTTTAATATTCATCCATGCCAATATTTGCTTTTTATAAAACTCTTCGTGTTTTTGTCGTTGAAATTTGTGTTTGATTTTCCCCAGAATGGTCAATATTGGTCTTTCGTTCTGATGTAAATGGTGAGTCAGTCATCAGATGAGAAGAATGAAAACCATGAGCCAGTTCCAAGTATTGTCTGTCTCCCTATAGAACAGTGGTCTCAAACCTGGGGGTGTGCCCCCTTATGGGGGCATGAGGAAGTTTCAGTTACAAGGAGGGGGGGGGGGGGGGGCGTCAAGCAATTCTGAAACTGGGTGCACCAGTAATCACGAAAAATCTAGATTTTCAGCTTTAACAGTCACTCAAACAAAATAACGTTGCCTGATATAGAGAGTGATCTCCCTTCTGCCTTGCCCAACATCAGTCCAAAAATAGTAGGTATAATCAATCAACAGTGTCAACAATAACAATGACCACACTAGATTACCAGCTGTTGGTGATTGTTTGTTTTGTTTTTTGACACTTTATGTGGATGTTTTTTTGAGTTCCCGTCCTCCTCTTTGTAATCATATTTCTTTAATGGTTGGAGACGACTGCTATAGAACAATATATAATAGCATCGTCTGGAAAGGCAGAAAGGGGGCAGCAACAACAACAAAGAAATGAGATAAAATGGTTAACTGTCACTGCTTCACTGGGTGCTGACAGACAGAAGAGAAGGTGGCAGCAGCAACAACAAAGAACTGAGATAAGATGGTTAACTGTCACTGCTTCACTGGGAGCTGACAGACAGAAGAGAAGGTGGCAGCAGCAACAACAAAGAACTGAGATAAGATGGTTAACTGTCACTGCTTCACTGGGTGCTGACAGACAGAAGAGAAGGTTGCAGCAACAACAACAAAGAACTGAGATAAGATGGTTAACTGTCACTGCTTCACTGGGTGCTGACAGACAGAAGAGAAGGTTGCAGCAACAACAACAAAGAACTGAGATAAGATGGTTAACTGTCACTGCTTCACTGGGTGCTGACAGACAGAAGAGAAGGTTGCAGCAACAACAACAAAGAACTGAGATAAGATGGTTAACTGTCACTGCTTCACTGGGTGCTGACAGACAGAAGAGAAGGTTGCAGCAACAACAACAAAGAACTGAGATAAGATGGTTAACTGTCACTGCTTCACTGGGTGCTGACAGACAGAAGAGAAGGTTGCAGCAACAACAACAAAGAACTGAGATAAGATGGTTAACTGTCACTGCTTCACTGGGTGCTGACAGACAGAAGAGAAGGTTGCAACAACAACAACAAAGAACTGAGATAAGATGGTTAACTGTCACTGCTTCACTGGGTGCTGACAGACAGAAGAGAAGGTTGCAACAACAACAACAAAGAACTGAGATAAGATGGTTAACTGTCACTGCTTCACTGGGTGCTGACAGACAGAAGAGAAGGTTGCAGCAACAACAACAAAGAACTGAGATAAGATGGTTAACTGTCACTGCTTCACTGGGTGCTGACAGACAGAAGAGAAGGTTGCAGCAACAACAACAAAGAACTGAGATAAGATGGTTAACTGTCACTGCTTCACTGGGTGCTGACAGACAGAAGAGAAGGTTGCAGCAACAACAACAAAGAACTGAGATAAGATGGTTAACTGTCACTGCTTCACTGGGTGCTGACAGACAGAAGAGAAGGTTGCAACAAACAACAACAAAGAACTGAGATAAGATGGTTAACTGTCACTGCTTCACTGGGAGCTGACAGACAGAAGAGAAGGTTGCAGCAACAACAAAAAGAACTGAGATAAGATGGTTAACTGTCACTGCTTCACTGGGTGCTGACAGACAGAAGAGAAGGTTGCAGCAACAACAACAAAGAACTGAGATAAGATGGTTAACTGTCACTGCTTCACTGGGTGCTGACAGACAGAAGAGAAGGTTGCAGCAACAACAACAAAGAACTGAGATAAGATGGTTAACTGTCACTGCTTCACTGGGTGCTGACAGACAGAAGAGAAGGTGGCAGCAACAACAACAAAGAACTGAGATAAGATGGTTAACTGTCACTGCTTCACTGGGTGCTGACAGACAGAAGAGAAGGTTGCAGCAACAACAACAATGAACTGAGATAAGATGGTTAACTGTCACTGCTTCACTGGGTGCTGACAGACAGAAGAGAAGGTTGCAGCAACAACAACAAAGAACTGAGATAAGATGGTTAACTGTCACTGCTTCACTGGGAGCTGACAGACAGAAGAGAAGGTTGCAGCAACAACAACAAAGAACTGAGATAAGATGGTTAACTGTCACTGCTCCACTGGGAGCTGACAGACAGAAGAGAAGGTGCCAGCAGCAACAACAAAGAACTGAGATAAGATGGTTAACTGTCACTGCTCCACTGGGAGCTGACAGACAGAAGAGAAGGTGCCAGCAGCAACAACAAAGAACTGAGATAAGATGGTTAACTGTCACTGCTTCACTGGGAGCTGACAGACAGAAGAGAAGGTGGCAGCAGCAACAACAAAGAACTGAGATAAGATGGTTAACTGTCACTGCTTCACTGGGTGCTGACAGACAGAAGAGAAGGTTGCAGCAACAACAACAAAGAACTGAGATAAGATGGTTAACTGTCACTGCTTCACTGGGTGCTGACAGACAGAAGAGAAGGTTGCAGCAACAACAACAAAGAAACTGAGATAAGATGGTTAACTGTCACTGCTTCACTGGGTGCTGACAGACAGAAGAGAAGGTTGCAGCAACAACAACAAAGAACTGAGATAAGATGGTTAACTGTCACTGCTTCACTGGGTGCTGACAGACAGAAGAGAAGGTTGCAGCAACAACAACAAAGAACTGAGATAAGATGGTTAACTGTCACTGCTTCACTGGGTGCTGACAGACAGAAGAGAAGGTTGCAACAACAACAACAAAGAACTGAGATAAGATGGTTAACTGTCACTGCTTCACTGGGTGCTGACAGACAGAAGAGAAGGTTGCAACAACAACAACAAAGAACTGAGATAAGATGGTTAACTGTCACTGCTTCACTGGGTGCTGACAGACAGAAGAGAAGGTTGCAGCAACAACAACAAAGAACTGAGATAAGATGGTTAACTGTCACTGCTTCACTGGGTGCTGACAGACAGAAGAGAAGGTTGCAGCAACAACAACAAAGAACTGAGATAAGATGGTTAACTGTCACTGCTTCACTGGGTGCTGACAGACAGAAGAGAAGGTTGCAGCAACAACAACAAAGAACTGAGATAAGATGGTTAACTGTCACTGCTTCACTGGGTGCTGACAGACAGAAGAGAAGGTTGCAACAACAACAACAAAGAACTGAGATAAGATGGTTAACTGTCACTGCTTCACTGGGAGCTGACAGACAGAAGAGAAGGTTGCAGCAACAACAAAGAACTGAGATAAGATGGTTAACTGTCACTGCTTCACTGGGTGCTGACAGACAGAAGAGAAGGTTGCAGCAACAACAACAAAGAACTGAGATAAGATGGTTAACTGTCACTGCTTCACTGGGTGCTGACAGACAGAAGAGAAGGTTGCAGCAACAACAACAAAGAACTGAGATAAGATGGTTAACTGTCACTGCTTCACTGGGTGCTGACAGACAGAAGAGAAGGTGGCAGCAACAACAACAAAGAACTGAGATAAGATGGTTAACTGTCACTGCTTCACTGGGTGCTGACAGACAGAAGAGAAGGTTGCAGCAACAACAACAATGAACTGAGATAAGATGGTTAACTGTCACTGCTTCACTGGGTGCTGACAGACAGAAGAGAAGGTTGCAGCAACAACAACAAAGAACTGAGATAAGATGGTTAACTGTCACTGCTTCACTGGGAGCTGACAGACAGAAGAGAAGGTTGCAGCAACAACAACAAAGAACTGAGATAAGATGGTTAACTGTCACTGCTCCACTGGGAGCTGACAGACAGAAGAGAAGGTGCCAGCAGCAACAACAAAGAACTGAGATAAGATGGTTAACTGTCACTGCTCCACTGGGAGCTGACAGACAGAAGAGAAGGTGCCAGCAGCAACAACAAAGAACTGAGATAAGATGGTTAACTGTCACTGCTTCACTGGGAGCTGACAGACAGAAGAGAAGGTTGCAGCAACAACAACAAAGAACTGAGATAAGATGGTTAACTGTCACTGCTTCACTGGGAGCTGACAGACAGAAGAGAAGACAAATAAACCATCACCTTCAGATGAGTACAGTTAAATGTAATACCCGCCTTATATCCATGGCGCCAGCTTCATCTTGGTCATCTCGGAGTTTCTTGTTCACATCTCTATAACACAGAAAACATCATACAATCACTGTCATCTCAGAGTTTCCTGTTTACGTCTTTTTAAAAGAAAACATCACACAATCATTGTAATTAGACAATTAAGGTCCTCATGTGGGTTTTAGGGCCCCAATTGGGGAGGGGGGAATTAACCTCCCCCCTCACAACATTCATGTATGACATGGCAAGTAACTTAGGATGCTACCTTCAAAGTGAGTGAATTTATCTGAGAGGCAAGGAACCAACAGTCTACATTCAGATAAACCAGATCTGTGTAATGGATGCGCAGACAAAACTCAAGTTCTGGAACAAGACTAAAGTCCAGAAATAGGTGAACAACCAGAACTTTTTATTTCAGTTTACTGCCGGTGAACACTAAGAAGCAGAAAATCAAGAAGAAGACTGTCGTTAGACAGTGAAGTGAGTAGTTGCACTGTTAGACAGTGAAGTGGGTAGTTGCACTGTTAGACAGTGAAGTGAGTAGTTGCACTGTTAGACAGTGAAGAGAGTAGTTGCACTGTTAGACAGTGAAGTGAGTAGTTGCACTGTTAGACAGTGAAGTGAGTAGTTGCACTGTTAGACAGTGAAGTGAGTAGTTGCACTGTTAGACAGTGAAGAGAGTAGTTGCACTGTTAGACAGTGAAGTGAGTATTTGCACTGTTAGACAATGAAGTGAGTAGTTGCACTGTTAGACAGTGAAGTGAGTAGTTGCACTGTTAGACAGTGAAGTGAGTAGTTGTACTGTTAGACAATGGAGTGAGTAGTTGCACTGTTAGACAGTGAAGAGAGTAGTTGCACTGTTAGACAATGAAGTGAGTAGTTGCACTGTTAGACAGTGAAGTGAGTAGTTGCACTGTTAGACAGTGAAGTGAGTAGTTGCACTGTTAGACAGTGAAGTGAGTAGTTGCACTGTTAGACAGTGAAGTGAGTAGTTGCACTGTTAGACAATGAAGTGAGTAGTTGCACTGTTAGACAATGAAGTGAGTAGTTGCACTGTTAGACAGTGAAGTGAGTAGTTGCACTGTTAGACAATGAAGTGAGTAGTTGCACTGTTAGACAGTGAAGTGAGTAGTTGCACTGTTAGACAATGAAGTGAGTAGTTGCACTGTTAGACAGTGAAGTGAGTAGTTGCACTGTTAGACAATGAAGTGAGTAGTTGCACTGTTAGACAGTGAAGTGAGTAGTTGCACTGTTAGACAGTGAAGAGAGTAGTTGCACTGTTAGACAGTGAAGTGAGTAGTTGCACTGTTAGACAGTGAAGTGAGTAGTTGCACTGTTAGACAGTGAAGTGAATAGTTGCACTGTTAGACAATGAAGTGAGTAGTTGCACTGTTAGACAATGAAGTGAGTAGTTGCACTGTTAGACAGTGAAGTGAGTAGTTGCACTGTTAGACAGTGAAGTGAGTAGTTGCACTGTTAGACAATGAAGTGAGTAGTTGCACTGTTAGACAGTGAAGTGAGTAGTTGCACTGTTAGACAGTGAAGTGAGTAGTTGCACTGTTAGACAGTGAAGAGAGTAGTTGCACTGTTAGACAGTGAAGTGAGTAGTTGCACTGTTAGACAATGAAGTGAGTAGTTGCACTGTTAGACAGTGAAGTGAGTAGTTGCACTGTTAGACAGTGAAGTGAGTAGTTGCACTGTTAGACAATGAAGTGAGTAGTTGCACTGTTAGACAGTGAAGTGAGTAGTTGCACTGTTAGACAGTGAAGTGAGTAGTTGCACTGTTAGACAATGAAGTGAGTAGTTGCACTGTTAGACAGTGAAGTGAGTTATTGCACTGTTAGACAGTGAAGAGAGTAGTTGCACTGTTAGACAGTGAAGTGAGTAGTTGCACTGTTAGACAGTGAAGTGAGTAGTTGCACTGTTAGACAGTGAAGTGAGTAGTTGCACTGTTAGACAGTGAAGTGAGTAGTTGCACTGTTAGACAGTGAAGTGAGTAGTTGCACTGTTAGACAGTGAAGAGAGTAGTTGCACTGTTAGACAGTGAAGAGAGTAGTTGCACTGTTAGACAGTGAAGTGAGTAGTTGCACTGTTAGACAGTGAAGTGAGTAGTTGCACTGTTAGACAGTGAAGTGAGTAGTTGCACTGTTAGACAGTGAAGTGAGTAGTTGCACTGTTAGACAGTGAAGTGAGTAGTTGCACTGTTAGACAATGAAGTGAGTAGTTGCACTGTTAGACAATGAAGTGAGTAGTTGCACTGTTAGACAGTGAAGTGAGTAGTTGCACTGTTAGACAGTGAAGTGAGTAGTTGCACTGTTAGACAGTGAAGTGGGTAGTTGCACTGTTAGACAGTGAAGAGAGTAGTTGCACTGTTAGACAGTGAAGATAGTAGTTGCACTGTTAGACAGTGAAGTGAATAGTTGCACTGTTAGACAGTGAAGTGAGTAGTTGCACTGTTAGACAATGAAGTAAGTAGTTGCACTGTTAGACAATGAAGTGAGTAGTTGCACTGTTAGACAGTGAAGTGAGTAGTTGCACTGTTAGACAGTGAAGTGAGTAGTTGCACTGTTAGACAGTGAAGTGAGTAGTTGCACTGTTAGACAGTGAAGTGGGTAGTTGCACTGTTAGACAGTGAAGAGAGTAGTTGCACTGTTAGACAGTGAAGAGAGTAGTTGCACTGTTAGACAGTGAAGTGAGTAGTTGCACTGTTAGACAGTGAAGTGAGTAGTTGCACTGTTAGACAGTGAAGAGAGTAGTTGCACTGTTAGACAGTGAAGAGAGTAGTTGCACTGTTAGACAGTGAAGAGAGTAGTTGCACTGTTAGACAGTGAAGAGAGTAGTTGCACTGTTAGACAGTGAAGAGAGTAGTTGCACTGTTAGACAGTGAAGAGAGTAGTTGCACTGTTAGACAGTGAAGAGAGTTGTTGCACTGTTAGACAGTGAAGTGAGTAGTTGCACTGTTAGACAGTGAAGAGAGTAGTTGCACTGTTTGACAGTGAAGAGAGTAGTTGCACTGTTAGACAGTGAAGAGAGTAGTTGCACTGTTAGACAGTGACGAGAGTAGTTGCACTGTTAGACAGTGAAGTGAGTAGTTGCACTGTTAGACAGTGAAGTGAGTAGTTGCACTGTTGGACAGTGAAGTGAGTAGTTGCACTGTTAGACAGTGAAGAGAGTAGTTGCACTGTTAGACAGTGAAGAGAGTAGTTGCACTGTTAGACAGTGAAGTGAGTAGTTGCACTGTTAGACAGTGAAGTGAGTAGTTGCACTGTTAGACAGTGAAGTGGGTAGTTGCACTGTTAGACAGTGAAGAGAGTAGTTGCACTGTTAGACAGTGAAGAGAGTAGTTGCACTGTTAGACAGTGAAGTGAATAGTTGCACTGTTAGACAGTGAAGTGAGTAGTTGCACTGTTAGACAGTGAAGAGAGTAGTTGCACTGTTAGACAATGAAGTGAGTAGTTGCACTGTTAGACAGTGAAGTGAGTAGTTGCACTGTTAGACAGTGAAGTGAGTAGTTGCACTGTTAGACAGTGAAGTGAGTAGTTGCACTGTTAGACAGGAAAGTGAATAGCTGCACTGTAAGACAGTGAAGTGAGTAGTTGCACTGGCTAAATAACTGTCATTAGACAGTGAAGTGAGTAGTTGCACTGGCTAAATAACTGTCATTAGACAGTGAAGTGAGTAGTTGCACTGGCTAAATAACTGTCGTTAGTGAAGTGAGTAGTTGCACTGGCTAAATAGAGTCCTATAATATTAGGGAACAATAAAATCACACCAGACAAGTAGAGATCATCAATGAAGGATCAAGTAAAATGCAATCACAATGCCTCACTTTTTAATCTGATATGGAAAATACTCTTTTACATGCATTTAGGTTCTATATGTATTATTCTCTTACAGGCAATCGTTAGTTACACTGGATAAGGTACATACAACATTTGGCAAAGAAAGAATAAAGATTAGTAAAGAAACATTAGGTACAATTGGAGATTTCTAAAAAATATGCATAATAATAGACACATTAAACAACGGGAGGTAACCGATATGGATAAGTATAGAAACATATTAGAAAAATGGGAGGTAAGAGACATGGATAAGTACAGCAAAATTAGAACAGTGGAGATAAGAGATATGGATAAATATAGAAATATTAGAAAAATGGGAGGTAAGAGACATGGATAAGTACAGCAAAATTAGAACAGTGGAGATAAGAGATATGGATAAATATAGAAATATTAAAAAAATGGGAGGTAAGAGACATGGATAAGTATAGCAAAATTAGAACAGTGGAGATAAGAGATATGGATAAATATAGAAATATTAGAAAAATGGGAAGTAAAAGACATGGAAAAGTATAGCAAAATTAGAACAGTGGAGATAAGAGATATGGATAAATATAGAAATATTAGAAAAATGGAAGGTAAGAGACATGGATAAGTATAGCAAAATTAGAACAGTGGAGATAAGAGATATGGATAAATATAGAAATATTAGAAAAATGGGAGGTAAGAGACATGGATAAGTATAGCAAAATTAGAACAGTGGAGATAAGAGAATATGGATAAATATAGAAATATTAGAAAAATGGGAGGTAAGAGACTTGGATAAGTATAGCAAAATTAGAACAGTGGAGATAAGAGACACAGATAAATATAGAAATATTAGAAAAATGGGAGGTAAGAGACATGGATAAGTATAGCAAAATTAGAACAGTGGAGATAAGAGAATATGGATAAATATAGAAATATTAGAAAAATGGAAGGTAAGAGACATGGATAAGTATAGCAAAATTAGAACAGTGGAGATAAGAGAATATGGATAAATATAGAAATATTTGAAAAATAGGAGGTAAGTAAGAGACATGGATAAGTATAGCAAAATTAGAACAGTGGAGATAAGAGATATGGAAAAATATAGAAATATTAGAAAAATGGGAGGTAAGAGACATGGATAAGTATAGAAAAATAGAAAAATTGATGGCACGAGATATGGATAAGTACAGAAACAGAATGTTGTAGATACAAGATAAGGATAAGTATAGAAACATTAGAAAAATGGAGATAAGAGACATGGGTAAGTATAGAAACATTACAAAATTGGAGATAACAGACATGGAAAAGTATAGAAACATCAGAACAATGTAGATAACAGACATGGATAATTATAGAAACATCAGAACAAGGAGATAACAGACATGGATAAGTATAGAAACATCAGGACAATAGAGATAACAGACATGGAAAAGTATAGAAATATCAGAACAATGGAGATAACAGACATGGATAAGTATAGAAAAATTAGAACAATGGAGATAAGAGACATGGATAAGTATAGAAACATCAGGACAATAGAGATAACAGACATGGATAAGTATAGAAACACCAGAACAATGGAGATAACAGACATGGATAAGTATAGAAACATCAGAACAATGGAGATAACAGACATGGATAAGTATAGAAACATCAGGACAATAGAGATAACAAACATGGAAAAGTATAGAAACATCAGAACAATGGAGATAAGAGACATGGAAAAGTATAGAAACATTAAAATAATGGAGATAACAGACATGGATAAGTATAGAAACATCAGAACAATAGATATAACAGACATGGAAAAGTATAGAAACATCAGGACAATAGAGATAACAGACATGGATAAGTATAGAAACACCAGAACAATGGAGATAACAGACATGGATAAGTATAGAAACATCAGGACAATGGAGATAACAAACATGGAAAAGTATAGAACCATCAGAACAATGGAGATAAGAGACATGGAAAAGTATAGAAACATTAAAATAATGGAGATAACAGACATGGATAAGTATAGAAACATCAGAACAATGGAGATAACAGACATGGAAAAGTATAGAAACATCAGAACAATGGAGATAACAGACATGGAAAAGTATAGAAACATCAGAACAATGGAGATAAGAGACATGGATAAGCATACAAACATTAAAATAATGGAGATAACAGACATGGATAAGTATAGAAACCCCAGAACAATGTAGATTACAGACATGGATAAGTATAGAAACATCAGAACAATAGAGATAACAGAAATGGATAGATATAGAAACATCAGACAAATTCAGATAACAGACATGGATAAGTATAGAAATATTAAATACAATAGGAGATAACAGACATGGATAAGTATAGAAACATTAGAACAATGGAGATAAAAGAAATGGATAAGTATAGAAATATTAAATACAATAGGAGATAACAGACATGGATAAGTACAGAAACATTAGAAGAATGGAGATTACAGACATGGATAAGTATAGAAACATTACAAAATTGGAGATAACAGACATGGATAAGTATAGAAACATCAGAACAATGGAGATAACAGACATGGATAAGTATAGAAACATCAGGACAATGGGGATAACAGACATGGAAAAGTATAGAATTATCAGAACAATGGAGATAACAGACATAGAAAAGTATAGAAACATCAGAACAATGGAGATAAGAGACATGGATAAGTTTAGAAACATTAAAATAATGGAGATAACAGAGATGGATAAGTATAGAAACCCCAGAACAATGTAGATAACAGACATGGATAAGTATAGAAACATCAGAACAATAGATATAACAGAAATGGATAGATATAGAAACATCAGACAAATTCAGATAACAGACATGGATAAGTATAGAAATATTAAATACAATAGGAGATAACAGACATGGATAAGTATAGAAACATTAGAACAATGGAGATAACAGAAATGGATAAGTATTGAAATATTAAATACAATAGGAGATAACAGACATGGATAAGTATAGAAACATTACAAATTGGAGATAACAGACATGGATAAGTATAGAAACATCAGAACAATGGAGATAACAGACATGGATAAGTATAGAAACATCAGGACAATGAGTATAACAGACGGAAAAGTATAGAATTATCAGAACAATGGAGATAACAGACATGGAAAAGTATAGAAACATCAGAACAATGGAGATAAGAGGCATGGATAAGTATAGAAACATTAAAATAATGGAGATAACAGACATGGATAAGTATAGAAACCCCAGAACAATGTAGATAACAGACATGGATAAGTATAGAAACATCAGAACAATGGAGATAACAGAAATGGATAGATATAGAAACATCAGACAAATTCAGATAACAGACATGGATAAGTATAGAAATATTAAATAAAATAGGAGATAACAGACATGGATAAGTTCAGAAACATTAGAACAATGGAGATAGTTAGTTAGTTAGTTAGTTAGTTAGTTGGGTTATCGTCATTGCACTCCGGACATGTCCATAGGTGCTCAGATCCTCCCCTCAGTATGAACCCCAACGTCCGATGGCTAATAGTACCAGTTCTATGTTGATTAACAAGTCTTCTGACGTGTCCGGTGTGCGTCTCGTTTTTTGCTGTGCCGATCTTAATTCCCAAGTCTGCCATTCTGGCGAGTGATGTGGATTCACTGCCACCAAAGTCCTCTATCCTTCCCATTTCTCTGAGGGCATTGATAATATCAGCATGATCCATAGGCCGACCGTCGGTAGTGATAGCGGATCCAGCCAACCTGTCAGCTCTTTCATTTCCATCGACGCCTGCGTGTCCCGGAACAAAAATAAAGGTGACTCCACGCACAGTGGACTTCTGTAATGATTCAAGCCATTGTCTTCGCACTGAACCTGCCTGAACCCTCCGGATCATACTCATTGAATCACTGAGTATACATATGCGGGTGTATTTTTGTGTTTCAAGCCAGGCAAACGCTTGCGTCACTGCCATCACCTCCATCGTCATGCTGCTGGTTGTCATGGAGAAGGCACCGTTGGCTTCTTTGACTGTTCTGCCCGCTGAGCGTGCTGTAAATGCCCATGCGCTTCTTCTTTGGCGTATAACGGATCCGACTGTGTAGATTAGTGCATCTGCTTCGTCTGAATTTTTACCGATGAGAGCGTTGACCTCTGCATTAACAGCAACAGGATTCTCTTCTCTACATCGCCTGTTGAGTGTGACAATACAGGAAAATGTACAAATAAACGCCTGAGGCACAGGTATCCATTCTGCACCAGGTTAGGCTGCATATTTGCCTAATAACATCTTCTGCCCGACCTAGCCACGATTTTCCCCTCTTCAGTCTGTCGCCCTTTTCACTAAAAAGCGCTTGATGCAGTGGGTGTTTCTTATCAGCACATATTTTGAGGTATGCCCGAGCCCTCCACATTCTGATCCTTTGGTTCATTGTTGGAAAGTCAAGTAGATACCTCATTGCTTCACAGGATGTGTCTCTTGTACATCCCAAAATAATGCGCATGGCTTCATTTTGCACCTTTTCGAGTCTTTCAATCTGGGTAGCACTGACAGTGAGGATGGCCAGAGCGTATTCAATGGGTGAAAGGACCAGACCGTAGAATAGAAGTATTAGTAGTCTTTGCTCGATATTGGAAGCAGCCATAATGGAGATAAAAGAAATGGATAAGTATAGAAATATTTAACAAAATGGGAGATAACAGACATGGATACGTATAGAAATATAAAAAAAGGGAGATAACAGACATGGATGAGTACAGAAATATTAAACAAAATGGGAGATAACAGACATGGATACGTATAGAAATATTAAACAAAATGGGAGATAAGAGACATGGATGAATATAAAATCACATTCTTTTTTCATCTTCTTCTGCATTTGCCCTTTAAAGGGCAGCTGGCATTCTGTTTTGTGGTTTACAGCAAGGTTGTGATATCCAGCTTTTTTGGCCAAACGCATCCCATTTCAACACATCCCAAATTAGTATCCTTTTATGATATGATTGCTTAAGGGCGAGGTGGGTCTATTCTGTTTCCCTCTACAAAGGGGTGTCGAAACTTACACGGGGAATGTCAAAACTGACATGGGGAATGTCAAAACTGACATGGGGAATGTCGAAACTGACATGGGGAATGTCGAAACTGACATGGGGAATGTCGAAACTGACATGGGGAATGTCGAAACTGACATGGGGAATGCTGAAACTGACATGGGGAATGCTGAAACTGACATGGGGAATGTCAAAACTGACATGGAGAATGTCGAAACTGACATGGGGAATGCTGAAACTGACATGGGGAATGCTGAAACTGACATGGGGAATGCTGAAACTGACATGGGGAATGTCAAAACTGACATGGGGAATGCTGAAACTGACATGGGGAATGCTGAAACTGACATGGGGAATGCTGAAACTGACATGGGGAATGTCAAAACTGACATGGGGAATGTCGAAACTGACATGGGGAATGCTGAAACTGACATGGGAATTACTAAAACCAACACTGGGAAGAATCACATTAATTACAAGTGGAAACAGCATACCCGATAAGTACAGAAAGATTAGAAACAATCTAAACTAAGAGATGAGATATAATTTAGCTGTGTATACTTTAAAGGACATTTTAGAACCAATCTCAGCATATTTTGGCTGTTGTGGTTTTTCTAGGCAAATTTTACACTCAGTAGTTTGCCACTGATTTCTGAAGGGTCGACTCTTGAAACCACTGTTTAAACCAATGCAAGATGGTCTGCTGCCAAATCGCCTGCAACTGGAATGGAACCTCGCATCCCAAAGCGTGTTCACAGCGCCTAAGTCACAATCGGCAACACATCAGATATAAATACAACACAGCTAAATAGAACCTACTTGAGAATGTCCAGCTGCTTGACCAGGCTCTCACGTTCTATAGCAATACCCTCAGACAACATCAGTGCTGCCCTGGTCACCACAAGAGTTGCCATAAAGAAAAAAAAATGAATCTCATTAAGCGGGAGTCAAAAGTAACATTGAAGTCAGGCATACATTAGAAGGAAGTAGCAATACAGCTACACATTATTTAAAAAAAAAAAAGTAGCAACAAGTAAATCAGAAATAAGTAACAATACGCTCTTTAGTCACACATAAATTAGAAGAAGAAAGCAAGAATAAAGCCAAAAATAAATTAGACGAAGAAAGTAAGAATAAAGCCACACATAAATTAGAAGAAGAAAGCAAGAATAAAGCCAAAAATAAATTAGACGAAGAAAGTAAGAATAAAGCCACACATAAATTAGAAGAAGAAAGCAAGAATAAAGCCACACATAAGTTAGAAGAAGAAAGTAATAATAAAGCCACACATAAATTAGAAGAAGAAAGTAAGAATAAAGCCACACAAAAAAACTAGAAAAAGAAAGTAAGAATAAAGCCACACACAAATTAGAACAAGAAAGTAAGAATAAAGCCACACATAAATTCGAACAAGAAAGTAAGAATTAAGCCACACATAAATTGGAACAAGAAAGTAAGAATAAAGCCACACATAAATCAGAACAAGAAAGTAAGAATAAAGCCACACATACATTAGAACAAGAAAGTAAGAATAAAGCCACACATACATTAGAAAAAGAAAGTAACAATTTAGTCACACATAAATCAGAATGGAAAAAGTAACAATACAGTCACACATACATCTAAAGGAAGTAACAATATTAAAACATATAATACCATATTTACGCGTCTATAGGCCGCACCCAGTTTCTGTGACGATCATTCGGTGGAAGGGGGAGGGGAATAATTGTCTTACACTTTTGCTGAGAAACCAAAACCGAAACAGTAATACCTGTAAGCAGTGCACGATGAGAACTCCTCAGAGTGAATTTAAAGCCACTTATGGCTAGGCAAGGTGCTGAGTTCTTACCTAATAAGTCGCCTCAGATGACGTAACGGAAACAGGGCAATAATTTATAGGGTGGTAAGACTGGGTTTCCCAGGTTTATGGTGCTTTTAATTACCCCAAAACATCTAGAACTGGACCTAACACCAACCCACCTACGTCCCATGAGAGAGTGCAGACTAGGTCCCACGACTGCATGTAGCCTAAGTCCCACAACTGCATGCAACCTATCTACCACCCCCTGAAATATTGGACTGTCTGTCTGGGGTGAATAAAAACGAAAGCACCCAAAGCTGGTGAAAAAACAGTGCGCGCACAAACTTTGGAAGCAGAAAAACAGTGGTGTACTGCATTGCTAGGTATCGTTGCTGACAGACACAAACTCCCACCTCAAGTCATTTTTCAACGTAAATCCAAGCTTAAGTAGAAGCTACCACCTGGAATACTGGTAGGAGTGCAATAGAATGGGTGGATGATTGAAGAATTGTTGTAATTATTTATTAATCAATACTGTACAAGTGACATGGCCTAATATCTTCAATATAAGCCGCACACTGAGGCCTATACAGGCTACCTTAACTCGAAAAAGACACAAGCACTGGAAATGCAATCTTCCAGAAAAAGTCTTGGCATATCAGACACAGACTACATCACAAATGACGAGGTTCGCCATATAATTACCTAGCACACTAGCAACTATAAACCTCTTTTAACCACAGTGAATAGATGGAAAATGCAAAGGTATGAAATCACAAAAATTAAAACTATAGGGCTCAGTAGAGGGGAAGAGGAGAAGGGGCAGCTTAAGAAAACTCTGGATATAGAATTTGACTGACTGGACAGGCCTTAGGCATGCAACCATGAAGTCTATAGCATCTGACTGCCAGAGATGGAGGGAGCTGATCAGAAGGTCAACAGAAACTGGTGATCCAACGACACATAGTGTTGCGGCATAATGGTGATGATGAAACACACGTAAATATGGTAATATCTTAATTACATGGCTCGCTCCCGTTTCTCATCTTTCTGCTGCAGCTGCATCTGCTGAATATAGGCACGAGACTCCTCCAGATTGTCCCGGGACTGGCTCAGCATCTCCTCCAGCTGGTCTCTCTCCTGTGTGGATTATAAGAGATCTCTTTATTTGTACCCAGGAACAGCATGGCTCACTCAGTGACAATCAACTTTCAACGAACAGGGCTTCCTAGACTTAGGACCAAGTTACGACTAACAGGTCATAAGTCAAACCGTTTGTAAGTCAAATTTATATTCTTCAAACAATTTGCATTGAACCGGGCTATAACAATTTTACATACAAAAACAAAAATTAAATCTATGTACATAAAATTAAACCCTGTTGTGCTCTAGACATCAGTTCCAGGAACTTTTTGACTTTACCAATGTAGTTACCATTATTTACTTACTATTTTTAATTCACTTATTCTTTTGTCATCATAAGTGTGGATGACCATAAGTCACCCCACGTCGTTAGGGGCGAGACTTTGTAGCAGTTCCCACAGGCGGTCCAATGTTATAGGGGTGTTATGATATGTCTTCCTTTGTTGTCTATACACAGCGCGCCAAAACGTGGCACAGGTTGGTCCGACGAGGTCGACACACTATCTCCCAGACAAAACTGCGCAGCTTTCTTTTCGCAACTCTCTTTTCTGTAAATGGTGCCTGTGTACAATGAAGAAGTACTGCAAGGGAAAGCACAGTTCCTAAGTACTGAATCACTGATGAATCTGTACTTTAACGCTCGCTTGCGGTTGCTGACACCAGCGGTCTGTATGCTTAAAATGGTAGAAAACAAGGAATACATGACACCCCTAGACTATAAGAGTGTCCTGACAAATTCCCTATGAAACCACATGCCGAGGAAATGGGGTGACTTTCGTGAGTTGGACCTAAGTGGCATAAGTCTAAGTCGAGGAGAAAAGTGTACAAGGTTTTGGAGAGACCGGCTGGAGCTCTTAGCTTTGAAAGTGGTAACTGCATACAATAATCTGACAAAGCTTGGCGAGAATGGCTTCTGATGCTATACCATACAAGGCATATAACAAAAGAGGAAAGGAATGTAGAGCAAGAGGTAGACCAAGAACAATTTGGGAAGATAAGATCAGAGAAGCTTTACTACTATGTACAGTTGTGTGTTATTATTGCACTGTTTGATGTCAATGTTACTCTTGACTACTGCCTGCACAGAAGTAAACATGGGTGGAGAAAGCAGGTTAATACGAGTTGGGTAAAAAACATGGGTGGAGAAAGCAGGTTAATACGAGTTGTGTAAAAGCAGTTTAAAAAATACCCATACTAATACAAACCTTTTGCAAGCGTTCATTCTCTTGTTTAGTCATGACTTCAGTCTTGTTTATCGTCTGCAGTTTTGCCTCCAGCTGTGGATATAATATTTGTGTCTTATCTGATTATGTTAACGTGATGGGTGTCTTAGGTGATTATGATAACATGTTGGGTGTCTTATCTGATTATGTTAACATGTTGGGTGTCTTATCTGATTATGTTAACATGAAGGGTGTCTTATCTGATTATCTGGTAATTTTAATTTCAGCTTCATAGCATATCTGATTATGTTAACATGTTGGGTGTCTTATCTGATTATGTTAACATGTTGGGTGTCTTATCTGATTATGTTAACATGAAGGGTGTCTTATCTGATTATGTTAACATGTTGGGTGTCTTATCTGATTATGTTAACATGAAGGGTGTCTTATCTGATTATCTGGTAATCTGGTAATTTTAATTTCAGCTTCATAGCATATCTGATTATGTTAACATGAAGGGTGTCTTATCTGATTATGTTAACATGAAGAGTGTCTTATCTGATTATGTTAACATGTTGGGTATCTTATCTGATAATGTTAACATGAAGGGTGTCTTATCAGATTATGTTAACATGAAGGGTGTCTTATCTGATTATGCTAACATGAAGGGTGTCTTATCTGATTATGTTAACATGAAGGGTGTCTTATCTGATTATGTTAACATGAAGGGTGTCTTATCTGATTATTTTAATGTGATGGGCATCTTATGTGATTACGTTAACGTAATAGGTTGTCTTATCTGATTATGTTAACATGATGGGTGTCATATCTGATTATGTTAACGTAATAGGTGTCATATCTGATTGTGTTAACATGGTGGGTGTCTTATCTGATTGTGATAACATGATGGGTGTCTTATCTAAATATGTTAACATGAAGGGTGTCTGATCTGATTGTGTTTTAAAAAAAACATTTAATGTTTTCATGCAACAATTGTCAATTAAGAAACAGTTCAAGCAACAGCTGTCAAATAAGAAACATCTAAAGCGACAGCTGTCAAATAATAAACAGTTACAGCAACATCTGTTAACGTGATGGGTGTCTTATGTGGTTATGTTAATGTAATAGATGTCTTATCTGATTTTGTTAACATGATGGATGTCTTATCTAATTATTTTAACGTGATGGGCCTCTTATGTAATTATGTTAACGTTATAGGTGTCTTATCTGATTAGACAGAGAGAGACTGAAGAAAAGGGGAGGGAGAGGATGGGATGCGGAGAAACTGTCAGTGAAAGGGGGAAGGGATAGAAAAGGGAGATGCTGAAAGTTAGAGACAGCAAGAGAGACAGAGAGAGTGACAGACAGACAGCTAGACAAGCACACAGAATTGGCAAGGCACAAGACACCTGATGATGATGAAAACTGACCAACAGAACTGACCTCCTGGTGTCGTGAGAGGATCTCCTGCAGCTGTTTCTCCCTCTCCTTGAGCTGACTCTCCAGCTCGGCCCGAGTCTGCCTCTCTCGTGCTCTCTCCTGCAATAAACACCAGAAGAAATACAACATCAAATGATAACATTACGATTAAACAAAAATATCTTTATTATGAGCCAAGCAGGTTGTGTTATACTGTGTTATGATACCACGATCAGCGTCAATACACACTGGGTATTCCCATATGTGCTCAGTCCTCCAATGCAGCAGCAACTTCAAGATACCTCTAATGATTAGGTAAAGCATAGGTGGTCGTGTTTCACCATCTCACATAATCACCAGAATTATAGATCAGGTCAGTGTTCTTATTGAGTTCCCGCGATCCAGGTATTTATCTCTTTGTCTTCTTTTTGTCCCCCCCCCCCCAATCAAGTTTCTCCAACATAATACCACCACTTATTGTCCAGTGCCCACATGCATATACAAAATAATAGGTCGTACAGTAGAGTATACTTCATATCAGATCTCATATGTTGGTGTACAAATAAACAAAAGATAGATTAGAAGTAGACAATTTCCTGTGTGGATTCAGGAGACCTATTTTGGCAGAAACAAGAACAGACTCACTGCTCCCTAACTAACATGTCATAGGGAGCGGCTTATCAGGTGTGCTACCTTCGAAATCAGAGTCCATCTGCGGAACCCATGTACATGCAGGACTCAAGTCCAGAAGTGGACAAACAAACAGAACATTTCGCCAGAGTTTACAGCCTGTGAACGCTAACAAAGCAGAAGCAGCAGCAGAAGAAGAAGAAGAAGAGAGTGAGATAAATATAAAAGGACATTTGTGATGAAGAAGTAAAAAAAGAAGTAAAATACAAAGGAATAATAAATAAAGTATAAAGACGTAATCACTGACCTCTGCCAATATCTTCTCTCTCTCCTCTTTTATCTGCAGCTCCATCTCTTCATAAAGTTTCTTGACCTCCTCCTCGTGTTCATTGCTCTTACTGCAGACAGCAGACAAACAGCCAAGTCAATCAGGAAATCAATCAATTTGCCTGTGCAAGCTTCAAGATTTTGCTGGGACTGACAGGTTTTTCACCAGTTTTCAAATGGGACAGTGAAGGACATTTTGTGTGATTTCCACGGGTAGAGGCACAAAGCAGTTATAGTGCTACCCATCTGCTGTGATACTGGAACCTTGACTAATGACTAACAAAGTCAATCTGTATCAAGGTTATAAAGTAAATAATCAGTGATGTTACTGGTGGGCTGGATCGTGCTGGCTATGTGACTTTGACAAAACACTTGAAACAAGGTGGCAACTACTTTGGCAAATGAGTCAGTAAAATATGTGTACATTTTTGTTTTAGGCAACCATTATTGCTAGGTAACAGATGTATGGACCAGAGTTAGACTAAAGGAAAACTGTTTGAATAGGAAACATTAACACAACAACTACCTGAATAAGAAATTAGTTAATGCAACAAGTATTTGAATAAGAAAGTTAACACAACAACTATCTGAATAAGAAACAGTTAACATAACAACTATCTGAATAAGAAACAGTTATTTTTTACAACAAGCATTTAAATAAGAAATAGTTAATGCAACAAGTATCTGAAAAAGAAAGATTTAACGCAACAACTATCTGAATAAGAACCAGTTAATGAAACAAGTATCTGAAAAAGAAATAGTTAACGCAACAACGATCTCAAAAAGAAACAGTTAACGCAAAAACTATTTGAATAAGAAACAGCAAGTGCAACAACCATTTGAATAAGAAACAGAACGCAACTCCCTGTGTGGGTTCCGGGGCCCCATTTTTAATGGAAAAAAGAATAGACCCACTGCCTACCCAAAAGTATGTCGTATGATTAGACTATTTGGGGAGCTTCCTTTCAAGTCGGAGTGCATCTGCCTGAGAGGTAAGGAACCAACAGTCTGCATTTAGGTGGACCAGATCTGTAAAACTGATGCACATGCAACACTCAGGTTCTGGAGCAGGACTGCAGTCCAGAAGTGGACGAACAACCTGAACTTTCCGCCAGAGTGAACGCAAAAGAAAAAGAAGTTAACGCAACAACTATCAGAATAAGAAACAGTAATGCAACAACTATCTGAATAAGAAACAGTTAATTCCCATCTGTTAAATAAAAAAAAAAAAACAGTTAATGTTTCATGCAACAACTGTCAAATAAGAAACAGTTAAAGTGACATCTGTCAAATAAGAAACAGTTTAAAAAAACATCTGTCAAATAGGAAACAGTTAAAACAACAAATGTCAAATAAGAAACAGTTTTAAAAAACATCTGTCAAATAAGAAACAGTTAAAACAACATCTGTCAAATAAAAAAACTTTATAGCAATAACTGTCAAATAAGAAACAGCTACAGCAACATTTGTCAGATAAGAAACAGTTAAAGCAATAACTGTCTGGATGAGAAACAGTCAAAGCAAACACTTTTTTTGGATGAGAAACACAGCAAAAACTGTCTGGGTAAAAAGCAGTTGAAGAATCAAATGCTGGGTAAGAAATAGTTGAAGCAAAAACTGTTAAATAAGAAAAAGCTAATAATGGTACAAATGCTTCTCATAAGAAATGGTCAAATAATAACTATCCTTATTATGCACTATAGTTTAAAAAAAGCTTTCTATCCAAAAGAGTCAAAGACACAACTGTTTGGATTAGAAAGAGTTAAACTCACGCTGTGTAAATGCAACAAGGTTTAAATATATCTTCTTCAATATTACAGATTTAATCTTTCCGCCCGCGAAATGTTAAAAAAACGGGTCATATACCTGTAAGAATTCCCAGAAAAAAAGTCCTTTACAAAGAAACAATTATCACACCGGTCACAATTAATGTATCAGTAAAGTTTTTAGATGCATTTTTAAATTTTACTATAAAATATAAAAAGATATATGTAAGGGGTAAGCAAAAAACATGAAAAGAGTGAAGCAATGAATGGAATACATTCCACTGGGTCAAAAACATGTTATGTAGTGGGTCTCATGCCGTGACTCCCTAACCTCCATCACTAAGGCTTACGGGAAAATATGCCATCAAACTGGCTTTAAGACAGCCAGTGGAATCAATAAAAGGAAACCCCACTAAATGTTATTTTTAGTTACTATATTCATATCCTGGCCTATTACTGATGGTGTACACAGAACCAATCACATTTTAACGATGCTTTTTCGAGAACAGGTCCCATATTGGCATTTAACAGATTGTGTCAAAATGGAAATGACTGGATTAACCTGCATTAACCTAGTTCAATTATAAATATGTGCCTTATGTGGATGAGAACTGAAGACCTACAGGTCTGTTGCCTAATCATCTGCATCTGGTTTTGAACCAGGATATGTCAGAATTATGAAACTGTGTTCTTAGTCTTAAGCCACAAAAACTGTCATTTTTTCAGTCCAGAAAGCTTGGTAAGCAAATGTCCAAAGTGGCAACCACTGATAAAATCGTGTAGTCCAAAGTGGCAAACACTGATAACACAGTGCAGTCCAAAGTGGCAACCACTGATAACACAGTGCAGTCCAAAGTGGCAACCACTGATAAAATCAAGGGTGCATTGTTTTCAAGGGGTTTCTATACAGAATGACAGTGATCAGTGAGAAAGATGTTTTTAGTAAGATAAAAAAGTAAAAGGTTAGGGAGTATACGGCTTGATGATTTAAATTAAGGAAACGAGCCAGTAACATGTCACATGTTGCTTGGGATTGAGAGAGTTAAGTACACAATAATAATGTATGCCCCTGTCAGTTATGTCCAGTTAGGTCTAGTGAAAAGTTACATACACATCGTAGCCTATTGCTTACCTCATTAAGGCAGCTTCTAATGACTGAAAGTCAACCTTTGACCTCTTGATATCACCAGCCAATCTGGCAATGAACTCTTCAAATGTTGAAGTCATGTCTGGTTCTTCTCTGTGTAGCTTTAACCACATGGCCTTAACGACATCCTCACTAAGAAAAAAAAAGCACACAGGAACAAATTATTTGTTGTTTTGGAGTATCTGAATGAATTATCAATAATTTATTTCAGTCCTTAAATAAAAAAACAGGGGCTTGTCAGCTGACATGCTACAGAAAGATTCTCTGAATACCGTGGACAACGGGAAAAAAGAAGAAATAGTAACATCCTAAAAGATCTGAACATTATTCTGGTAGCCTTACATGTTTGGTTGATGCCCTATTCTGGTAGCCTTACATGTTTGGTTGATGCCATATTCTGGTAGCCTTACATGTTTGGTTGATGCCCTATTCTGGTAGCCTTACATGTTTGGTTGATGCCATATTCTGGTAGCCTTACATGTTTTGTTGATGCCATATTCTGGTAGCCTTACATGTTTGGTTGATGCCATATTTCAGAAGCTTGATTCCTTTATTTCATTTAAAAACTGCAGTATTTTACTTCTTTAATGCCACATTGCAGTAGCCTCATCCAATTGTTTGCAGTTATTTGATTCCTTTGATGCCACATCCCAGAAGCCTTATCCTGCAATCTTATCCTTTTATTTTCTGCCATATTCTAGCAACATTATCCTTACATTTAAATCTCAGCTTAAAGTAACAACAACAAAATGTTTTTAAACAAAAAACATTTATTCAGATGGAACAAGTTACAATCACAACATGAAAACTTACTCCTGAAAGATGTGGGAAGCTCCAACCTGGCGAAGCATATCACTGAACATCTTCTCCTCCATTGCTGGATCTGTGACCCCTGCCTGACCCTCGTACAATGTATTCTCCTAGAGGCACAAACAAATTGGAGAGGACAAGCATAAATATCCAGTATCAAAAGAGAAAAACTGGTTTGGTCGTCAAGCGGATGATGTGAGCGCTGACTGAATTATGCTTTTTCTTTAATTCCTCAATAATTCTTGAGCAATTTCACGTGAACAAATAAATTCCCTACCGGCTTGCTGGACCTGTCACAGGATCATCCTTATTTGAACACATTGATATTTCATCCCACAGAATTGTAACCCATTTTTGTTTACTTTGCCATCTTAATTTAATTGGAGTTAATTGGATTCTAGTGTATAAGGAGTTAAGTGGTTTGTAGTGTGTAAGGAGTAAAGTGGTTTGTAGTGTGTAAGGAATTGAGTGGTTTGTAGTGTGTAAGGAGTTAAGTGGTTTGTAGTGTGTAAGGAGTTAAGTGGTTTGTAGTGTGTAAGAAGTTAAGTGGTTTTTAGTTCATAAAGAGTTAAGTGGTTTGTAGTGTGTAAGAAGTTAAGTGGTTTGTAGTGTGTAAGGAGTTAGGTGGTTTGTAGTGCGTAAAGAGTTAACTGGTTTGTAGTGTGTAAGGAGTTAAGTGGTTTGTAGTGTGTAAGGAATTGAGTGGTTTGTAATGTGTAAGGAGTTAAGTGGTTTGTAGTGTGTGAGGAACTGAGTGGTTTGTAATGTGTAAGGAGTTAAGTGGTTTGTAGTGTGTAAGGAGTTAAGTGGTTTGTAGTGTGTAAGGAGTTAAGTGGTTTGTAGTGTGTAAGGAGTTAAGTGGTTTGTAGTGTGTAAGGGGTTAAGTGGTTTGTAGTGTGTAAGGAGTTAAGTGGTTTGTAATGTGTAAGGAGTTAAGTGGTTTGTAGTGTGTGAGGAACTGAGTGGTTTGTAATGTGTAAGGAGTTAAGTGGTTTGTAGTGTGTAAGGAGTTAAGTGGTTTGTAGTGTGTAAGGAGTTAAGTGGTTTGTAGTGTGTAAGGAGTTAAGTGGTTTGTAATGTGTAAGGAGTCAAGTGGTTTGTAGTGTGTGAGGAACTGAGTGGTTTGTAATGTGTAAGGAGTTAAGTGGTTTGTAGTGTGTAAGGAGTTAAGTGGTTTGTAGTGTGTAAGGAGTTAAGTGGTTTGTAGTGTGTAAGGAGTTAAGTGGTTTGTAGTGTGTAAGGAGTTAAGTGGTTTGTAGTGTGTAAGGAGTTAAGTTAAAGTAGTGTCTACTCAGTCTGTGGTGTTCCCGATCACTGCACTGATGACATTTCTCCATGTCACTGTCTTAAGCTATCCACCATCATTTCTCTTGGTCTGCCTCTGCCTCTTCAACCAGTAATCTTTCCAGTCATCACAATATTTTTCAGTTCTCCTTTTCTTATCACATGAAAACTGAACAGTTTTGTTTGTCTCCTTCCCATTGTTGTATAAAATGTTCTACTTCACACAGAGCATACATACATCACAGCACATACACATAAAAAAAATGTCAGCCTGATCAGGAAATAGTATAAATATCACACGCAAAGACTGTACCAGACAAACAAAAATTAAAAATGAACTTTAAAAAAAGCTTGTAACAAAGGAAGCGTAGATGAGTGGCTAGCAGCTCCACCTACTGGTCTGAAGTCTGATCAAATCCCCACTGCTATTTTTACAGGTAAATCAATTGTCTTAACTTTAAAGGACAGTGTAAGGTAGAAGAAGCATTTTGAGAATGTCTTTCCCTTCAGTGGACCTATTTAGTGGTCCTCAAACTGCAGGGGTCTGCCCAACAAATGTAAGCAATCTGAGAAATCATGCACAAACATGAACTTTAGAATGCAACCCTTTTCAACTTTCTGTTAACAATAAAGGTTTATCTTCTTCTTCTTTTTCATCATTGTTTGTCTCAGTGAAATGCATATGCCTGTTCACAACATAGCTGCAATATTTCCAACTTTTGGCCAACAGTTCAATCTGGGCTGGCCAGGATTCTGGTTGGGAACTTGTTACCAGGATGACACCCAAAATGGTAAATGTTGAGTTAAGAATCAACATCACAGCACTCGGGACATTATCATAAGTGCTCAATACCCATCTTCAGCAGCAAGTTAAGAATTCCAATTCCGATGGTACCAGTAACTGTCTGATTGTATATCCGTCTCATCCTTTCCCTGAGTGCTGAGCATCGGAAAGATCCAAAGAAGTTTACTAGTTGTTAACAAGCATTATTAACTTTGGTTCTAGTGAATCATCTTGTGTGGCTCAGCTACTCTACATTCCCTTAGAGCAGAGCTATTCAACTGGTGGCCCTGGGCAATATCTGGCCCGCCAAGTTCTAGGCAATGGCCCTCGGATCATTGCCAGTTGTGTGGTAATAATAATAATCTTTCTAAGCTGGGGCTCAGGCCCTAAGGCCTGTGAATATTCCTATTTTCAAAGTTTTGGTCCCTGAGTAAACTTAGTAGAATAGCCCTGCCTTAGAGTCATGAAATCACATGTCCCCTTCCATTACTCTCTCCACTCCTCCAATATAAAGTATTACCTCATCCTCCTCCAGGATCTCACGTGAACAATTTGGGCTCCTGAGACCAAGAAAACTGCCTGTCAAACAAACAGAAACAAAATGAGGAAACATTCTCCAGACAGAAACTTCTGACACTGTTTACTGTTTTTTTTTTTTCATTTCTGAATCTTCTTGGAGAAGCAGTGTACATTAAAATGGTTCTTCTTCTTTATGTCCTCTTTTACCACTACAGGTGTCAAGGGAGATATAAGGTCCTGCTTTGTGCTCTTCTAGCTGCTTCGACCATAGATACACTGTGGTGCTGTAGAGTTTCTCTGATGTTATCTTTCGATTTTGTTCTTGGTTTACCTCTTGCTCTACGTCCCTCTACTCTTTTGGTATATGCCTTGTATGGTATAGCATCAGAAGGCATTCTTTCCAAGTGGGCAAACCATTTGATTTGCTGACTTTGTATTTAATTTAGAATTGGTTCTGTACCAACTTTATTTCGTATGAGTGACCACGTCTGGCACTGGTAGCATAAGGTGGGAATTAAAATGATTACTAACATGAATCTTTCAATCCCTAGATTTACATGTTATTAACTTATTCTTCCTCTTCAATCCCAAACACTGCATAATGTGTTCTCTTCCATTTTACATTTGGTCAAAGCGTACTACAGAAATATGGCATCCAAATGGCCACTTTCACTACATGTTTAGCCTCTGTCAGAGTAATGTACTAGTTCTTTTTTTTTATTTTTTTATTAAAAGGGCAGTGGACACAATCAGTTTTCTGGTTTACAGCTAGACTGTAATAGTTTTGACATTTAGCCCAACACAATTGATTTCAGAAAACCCCTGATTAATTGCCTTACATGACATGCTTGGCAAGGCAGCAGTAGGTCTATTTTCCCACCCCACCCCTAACAAAATGGGACCCAGACCCCACACAGGAAAATGCACTGGTGAGTATTTTTACTGGTGATTTCAGCCAGTCTGAGCATCGACTGAATAACATTCTTCTTCTTCTTCTGAATCTATGTCTACTACTCAGTGTTGATAAACTGCACACCCCAGTGGAATGTTCTGGTATTGCGTCCACTTCTGCACTGTGACCTTGTTCCAGAACTTGTGTTTTGAGTGCACATCCATTTTACAAATAAGGTTTATTTATATATTTATTAAAAAAAGAATAGGAATGGCTAAAACAGTCTTCAATAAGATGTGCAAGTCACTGACAGCTAGAGAGATAAACAACACACTAAACATGAGAATTGTCTAATGTTATGTATACTCAGTGCTGCCATATGGTGCAGAAACTTGGACAATAAACAAGCAACTAGAAAACAGAATTGAGTCTGGAGGTGTGGGTATACAGAAGAATAGGTTGTATTTCATGGAAACAAAAACAGTCCAATACAGAGGTTCTTTAAAGCTGCAAATGAAAAGAGAATTACTGACAGAAAAAAAAATTGAAATACTTTGGCCACATTAAAAACATAACATACTTTTAAAAACTGTACCGGAGGGAAAGGTCAAAGGCAAGACAGCAAGAGGCAGGCAATGATACAAGTGGGAGGACAACATAAACAAATGGAATGGCAGCAGTCTGAGAGCGTGTACAGCCAGGACAAGCGACAGAGTGTGTTGGAGATCCATTGCAGGAAACCTTCACTGTGGAGACTGCATCTGACTGGTGATTATTTATATGCAAACTATTGGTTGTTTTCTCAGGAAGATGACCTTCCATTTCAAAGGAAACAACTCTAAACAGTCGCTGTTTATGACATACTAGTTATGGGCAGTCAGTCTATTCCAAAATGGGGCTTCAGTGCCCACAGGGGGAAGAACATACAACTGCAACTGAATTTATTTTGGTGTTAATCAATAGTAAAAGAACATTTTGCCTGCCTTGAGGTGAACTGGATAAATAGTGCTTGTTCCCTATTTTAACATACCATCTGCCAGATGTTTGGTGATGTAGTCTGTGGCAATATTATGTGGTCTGGCCCCAATTTATGTCCTGTAAGACTCTCATATAACCACAAGAATGTTGGTTCTTTTTTTAATAAACTGTGTATGCAGAAATTAAACCCTTGTAATTCAGGTTCAACAGAAGATGGAAATGGCTTGGCCACGTTATGAGAATGAATCCTGATATACCTGCCAAAACAGCTCTTATATGGATACCAAAGGGAAAGAGAAAAAAAGGGGCGCCCAAAAATAACATGGAGGCAAACGATGGAAAGAGACCTGAGTGTGGCATCTCTGACATGGAAAACAGCACTGAAGATTGCACAGGACAGAAAAGTCCTCTCTGAAGCCTCATGTGACACTAGGCATAAAGAGAAATTATGATGGTGATGACTTCTGGTTCGGGGTGTCGCCGTAGTGTAGCGGCTACATGTTAGCCTGTGGATCAGAAGGTCTGGGTTCGGGTACTTTTTTTTTTTCAAAAATGACCATGGCTCCAAAGTTGACCCAGCCTTGAGTGGGAACCAGGTGTAGTTACTAAAGGCGGCCGGCATGACGCTGACCACATCCTCATCACGTGCTGTTTTATCTATAAAATATAGGTCTAGCCCTATATGCCTAAAGGTGTGGAAAACGGTCCTTCACTAACTCGAGGTTAATGAAACTGTTGAATGCTTTCACCAACTTCTAAGATGCGCTATATTAAAGCTGGTATCTGACGGCGTTAGGTTCCAATCCTGGTGTGGCAATACGCACTTTTATGTTTACAATCATCAAAGCAATGGCAATGTTTCCCCAAACAGTGCAGTCTTTTGTTAGTGTATTTGCTCTAGTTAACCCTTTGGAGACGACGCGGCCGAAATATCAGCCCAACACAAAGTAGCCAAAAGGACGACTGGTACGATCGGTCAGCCATTATAATAGAAGCTTGACATTGGCTGGCAGGTTTTTGTACCAGCCAATCAGACTGCTTCTCGCATTTCGTGCACGTGTGGGCTGTTCATTGACGGCTTTCGAGAAAGTTTTATGTGTTCTGTAATTTTACCTCAATTTTTGTTCTGTGGGTTACCTGTGCCCAAAAATGGCGAAAAGGACTGTTGCCTCACAGCAAACTAAACACAGCTGTAGGCAGGAAAATGAGTAGAACCGTGTGCCTGACGTGTCTGAAGGGCCTTACTTCCCAAAATATAGGTGTTGGTACTTTTTCTGCTAAATCCATAACAAAATTTACCCACATTTTTCAGGTTAGTTATGTTGGTTCCCAAGTTTAAAAAAACAACTACTTGCATAAATTATGCAAATCAGAGTAGTTAATTTTAATAAATGTTGAGATTTCAGTTTTATTCTTAAATATTCTGTTAGTTCATCAAATTTCCTACTGGAATATATATAAATAGTTTTGTAAATGGTAATTTTTTTATAATTTTTTGTGTATTTACTATGAGAATCCCCTCCTGATGGCTCATTCTTCTTGGCAGCGAAACTCCAAAAAGGCTCAGTCTCCAAAGGGTTAAAAAAAAACATTCGGCTCTACTGTCAAATTTGGCCGGTAAGCTGGACTGCTTCAGCCGGCTTAGCGGGGCTTAGTGGGAGTTATGTCCCTTCGCCAAACTCAAAACAAGTCGCGGAAAAAGTCACGAATCAAACGACATACTTACCTATCATCATCCTGGTGCGTGTAGGGCTGCGTAGGTTGCGTCTAGGGTTACCTATCATCATACGGTTGCGCGTAGGGCTGCATAGGGTGTCTATCATCATCATCATAAGGTTGCGTGTAGGGATGCGTAGGGTGTCTATCATCATACGGTTGCGTAGGGTTTGGGTTAGCGGTAGGGTTAGGGGTGTGGGTTAGGGGTCGGGTTAGGGGTCGGGTTAGGGTTAGGGGTAGAGTTAGGGGGTAGGGTTAGGGGTAGGGGTAGGGTTAGATGTGAAAATAGTCACGTAGGAGGTCGAAATACTGGCCGACAATCTGATGCTTGTGGGAGTGGCGCCACTGGAAGTGTGCCAAATATGACGGCAATAGCGCACGGCGGCTGGTGCCCCAATCGGTGGCGAATTGTCTGTGTCAGTAGCATCCACCGTCCGTCGATTGTTTGCGCGTGCATGCGACTGTGCGCGATTTTAGGGAACTACGGAGTCACAATTGTCACATCTAACGCTACACCTAACCCTAACCCTAACTTCTAAACGCTAACCCTAACCCTACCCCTCATCTTACGCAAACAACCAACCTACACGCAATAAGCAGCCCTACACGCAACCGTAGGACGATGATAGACACCCTACGCAACCCTACACGCACCCGGATGATGATAGGTAAGTATGCCGTTTGATTCGTGACTTTTTCCGCGACTTGTTTTGAGTTGTTTTGAGTTTGGCCAAGGGATATAACTCCCACTAAGCCCCGCTAAGCCGGCCGAAGCAGTCCAGCTTACCGGCCAAATTTGACAGTAGAGCCAAACATTCTGTTAGTGTTACTTTGTTAATTACTATTACCTTCTACGAATTTCCTTACTCTGCATAAAATCTATTTCTTTTTAGTCCCATAAACGCATTGATCAAGCCATGAAATAAATGCCTAGTAAAAAATTGTAAATGCACTGAGACTAATAGAACAAGCTCAAAGAATCTAGTGTGATATTCTCGTTCTGTTTGCAAGACGTCCATGTTTGAATCTTCACTTTTGCAATACAGGAACTGTGTCTGGCATAAACTTCTCTACAAGAGAGCCACTTTGTTGATTCCTAAGTAAGACGACCTATCATGGGGTTGTCTTCCTCCTAGAAAAAGAAGTGCCGTCACAACCATAACATGTTTAAACAAAAAGAGGTGTCGGCACTCACCAGACAATGTCTATTATAGTAGTGCTGAAACATGATGCATAAAAAAGGATGCAGTATTGATAGAAAATAAAAGCCATTTATAATAATAATGAACTCACGAATAGAATATTGTCTGTAATAGGAGACAATCTACTTTCTTTGATCGCGTCATGAGAAGGAGAAAACATGAGTACATGGAGGGGTAAAAAGACAGAGACCGGAGGGAGGAGAGGCTGGACAGTTTAACATCATAGCATGGAGGATTGATTATTTGTGTCAGAATTGATTGAAAGTACACGATACAGAAGGTTGCGGACAGACATGACTTCCAAAGCCAGACGATATTGATTATGAGAAGAAAAAAAATGTGTGTGTGTGGTTTTTTTTTTTTTTTTTGGGGGGGGGGGGGGGGGGGGGGGGGTGGGGTCACTTTTCTCTCCACGACTGCCGTTCTTAGGATTAGCGACTCAAGAATGATAAACAAATAAGCAATTCACAGAAACGCCGCTCAAGCGTATAACAGTTGCATTAGAACGCCCTTACGATAACAATATAACCCGTAGTTTTATAGGCGTGAACAGACATTACATAATAATTGTATCCCCCAAAAAACTTTTAATATTCCTAAATAGAATTACACATTATAGGAATCAGAATAGTCTGGTGATTGGATGTAGTAGTAGTAGCAGCAGCAGCAGCAGTAGCAGTAGCAGCAGCAGCAGCAGCAGCAGCAGTAGTAGTAGTAGTAGTAGTAGTAGTAGTAGTAGTAGTAGTAGTAGTAGTAGTAGTAGTAGTAGTAGTAGTAGTAGTAGTAGTAGTAGTAGTAGTAGTAGTAGTAGTAGTGGTAGTAGTAGTAGCAGCAGTAGTAGTAGTGGTGGTGGTGGTAATAGCAGCGGCAGCAAAAGCAGTAATAAAAGCGGTAGCAGTAGTGGTAGCAGCAGGAGCAGTAGTAGTAGTAGCAGCAGTAGTGGTAGTGGTGGTTTTGGTGGTAGTAGTAAGAGTAGTGGTGGTGATGGTAGTGGTAAAGTAGTAATAATAGTACTCATAGTAACAGTTGTAACAGTAGATGAAGAAGATTGGGTAGTTATCACATACACATAACACATGGACACTGGTGTAAGCAATATTGTGTGTCAAAACATTTTACCAAAGCCCTCTGTAAATTCCTGCAAGGTTAGTGATCCATTGCCGTCATTGTCCAAGGAATCAAAGACCACCTCCAGCTGGTCAGGAGATATAGGCAGCTCTGCCCTCAGTCGCTGCATGTCTGATTTTGTAATGTAACCCTTTTCTTCCTTGTCGCATAACTGGAATAACTCCTGTTGTCATAAAGAAAGCAAACCAGACACAACTGATAAGAATTAGAATCTGGATTGCAATTTTTCAGCTGCTTAACCAAAAGAAAGAATTTCCAAGTACCCATTTAAATCGTACAAAACTTACAGTGGGACCAGGAAAGTCGCTACAAATACATCACGTAAGCTAAGGTATAACTAGGGTCTGCGTGGTCTCGAGGTGTCCGCCTCAAGTGCTAGAGGTTTAGGGTTCAATACCCGGTAGGGGACTTCTAGTAATTCCCCCTGGTCTTTGAGTAGTGAGGTCAGACGCCCGTGTGCATTGTTGCGCCCTTAAAAAAATCCATTGGCACTTGGAAATCGAAAATAGTAGCCTAACGGCGCTGCCCGGGCAAAATTTTGAGTTAAAAATCTACCCAAAGTATTTCAAGATCCTCGCCGGTGCTACAGAGCCTGTGCACTGTGCTGAGCTTCTTCAGAAGAAGAACAGAGCACTAATACCATGATGTTGATCCGTTGCTCAAACCTCAAACCAGGTATAACTGCAGTCTGCACTACATGTTATCTGTTAAAACTGAATGTTGGGCGGCATATACCAAACCTGTCCTCTCATATTGTAATGTTGGTATTTTCCCACGGGAATTATCTAAACAACAATAATGGAGTAACTTTGAGAAAAGAGAGAAATTCATCAGAGTGTGGATATTCGTAGAAACACGAGATATACAAGCAGGACTCAAACTAGCACTTGAAACCCAGAACGAGAGTTATAAGGTTAGACGAAGGTCTAATCAGTTAGTATGTGTTTGGCAGCTGGCGTGAGAAGTTGTATCTGATAGACGCGTGAATGTGACAGTATACATTTGAAGACGTGAAGGAGATTCTATTCGATGAGAAGACAGCCAAACGACAGCCTGATGATAGCCTAATCTGAAGTGGTAGCCAAAAGGTTCAAACCGGCCATGAAGTCTAACCACCACGATCAGAGCTGCTGGATCAATCATAGTGTGTATTAGGTGTGCAAGGAAACATGACTGAAAGGTAACGTGTGTGGATGGGAGTAGACGTCAGGTATCTGTCTGAAAAATGTCATCATATCTTGCTGGACCTGCTAGCCAATAGTGGACATTGACTGGACCAGATCGCCCGTGAAAGTGTAATAAAGAATATAACTGGATATCCTCTAATCGTTACCAACTGTGTGCACTCCCAATGTCATCTATGTCTTATGTATGAAAAACCCCTAGCAAGCAGTCAGCACACAGAGGTGACAGTATCCCACATACTGTGTCACCCACGGAGCACACTGGGGAAGATGCTAGCGTTATCATAGGAGGTGGAAATGCAGCCTGTTTTAATGACCCACATGGACATTCCCTGCTTCCCCATTCTTCTCAGACCGCGATCATCGATGTATGCTTTCCTAGATGTTTACTCGCTCTACGTGGACATTTACCCTATCTAGCATCAGTCACCACCACCAGCCAATTTGCAGCCTGCTCATTTCCAAAAACACATGTGCACACAGGAAAATATATTCAAATGACACGTTTTAGTTAATTGGTGGACTCGTAGACTCTTTTTGCAGCGTGATAGTCTTGGGACTCCGAGCTACCTGGCTCTGATAAGCCAGATGTGTGTTGGGTCAAGGCCGTCTCCGGAGACTGGAGATAGTCTTGGTTAGGCATTTGCCTGGTTCGAAAGGTGTGGGGGAAGGGCGAGGAGAGCGGGAGAGAGCAACAGAAGTGTGGGAGAGAAACAAAACTAAGAAGTGTGACTGGCGAAGTAAGAGAGAGCAAGTGATAAAGAGGGGAAAGGTACAGGCACACGCACACGCACATGCACACACATATACACACATACGCACGCACGCACGCTTGCGCGCGCACACACACAGAAAAAGAGAGAGAATGAGAGTTGAGTTGATTCAAGAACCGACATCACAGCACTCGGAGCATTCCCATAAGCGCTGCATCCCCATTTTCAGCAGCCAGTGAAGAGTTCCGATCCTAATGGTGCCAGTAGCATTCTGATTAAACGTCCACCTTGCCTTTCCTCTGAGCCTCGAGCATCTGCCAGAACCTCTCGTCACTCCCCGCTGCATCAGTCTAACTAGACTGTGGTGATCCAACTGCTCCACCGAGCTGTGCACCCTCTCCCACAATGCACTAACCACGTCTGCCTTATCATGCATCAGTATTCCACCAAGTTGTGCACAGCCAACTAGTCTGCTTGCCTGTTCATTTCCCAACACACCGGCGTATCCCTTAGAAAAAATCCAGACAAATACTCCTCACCCGTGTCCTCCGCAGTAAAGCATGCCACTCTGTACGAAGCACACCTGTCCTGACCTTCCTCGGCATGCTTTCTGAGTCAGTTACAATCAAGATGAGAATAAGAGAGACAGCCTATGTTGTCCATGCACCGTATATAGAACTGTTCCATTGTCTCTGTCCATGTGTAACATTTACTACTTTAGGTTCCTCTGAATGTTCAGGAAAATGCAGGTATCACCTATTAGAGTAAGACATGGAGATAAGAGTTTGAAAGAATGAGAGTTAGGAGGTATGCATGTTATTTACTTGCTTGCTGTACACCACTAGGATATCGCTCAATATGGGGCTTCAAATAACGAAAAATGGCATCCCACGAGGGGATGATGGTAAATGTTAACAAGTATGCATGTTCTGCGGGCACAGCGAATAAGATAATATTGAAATATCATTCAAAAGATTATGTAACTCTTGAATATGTAACTAAATTTTGAAATAAAATAGAACTTAATAAAATGATTGATACGACATTTGAAGAAAATAACTGACCACTGCTTTCTGAGCCATGACTTCCTGCATCTGGTCAATCATGGCTTGGTTTGGCTCGGTCATCATGTCCTCGGCACTAACAGACTTCTCTAAATGGGCCATTTCCAGAACTTGATGGAGGTGACCAATGTCCAAAAGTCCTCTGTCAGGGAAGGCAAACCGTCACTGTTTTCTGTTGTTACCTTGTAATCAGAAGCCTGTAAGTAGTGGGGGGGGGGGGAATAACATTAATGTCACAATAGTAAGGGTATGAGGTGTCCAGAGGACAGTAAAATACGAACCTACATGGGCTTTGACACAAAGATAGCATAGTTAGGGGAAGGTTGTGGCGGGAAGGGAGGGGGGGGGCGGGTGTCAGTCACTACATACTAGGCTCTCCTTGCAATAACGGTCGCTAGTTGGACGGCGACGGCCGCTTAGTCGGAATTCAGTCCCCTGACTGCAGTGCAATTAAGGAGTGGAAAAAAGGGAACGACACAAATGATATAATTAGGACTAGTGGGTAAGGTTAGAGTTAGGGTTTGGGTTAGGGTTTGGGTTAGGGCTAGGCTAATGTGAGTCGCAGCGCGTGGTCTGAACGCCATGTTGAACTCACTGTGTTTTGTGATTCGTGCCTTGTCCACTCCGTAACTGCACTGCAGCCAGGTGACTGAACTCCGACTAAGCGGCCGTCGCCGTCCAAGTAGCGACCGTTATTGCAAGAAGAACCACATACTATAAATTTCCGAGTAGTCCTAAAAAAACACTTAAAATCTGGGTAATTTATTGAGTGAAACTATCCAGCCTTTACACAAGAAAACCTTAGTAATAACAATCACCGTCCCAATACAGGAGGCACATTTTCGTTATTTTAAAGTCCCACCCTGGCTGTTGCCGGGGGACCTAATATAATCCAAACTATGGGTTGAACAGGGTTTCTGGGACCTGCCCACGGGTGATCCTCATCCGCATGCATAGTTTTTAGCTTACTGGATTTGCTCGGTCTGTAGTGTTCTGGATCAATGCCACTGATGATATTCCTCCATTCACCGTCTTAAGCCATCCAGCATCATTTCTCTTGGTCTGCCTCTGCCTTTTCTACCAGTAATCCTTCCAGTCGTCACGATATTTTCCAGTGCCCCTTTTCTCATCACATGACCAAAGAACTTTGTTTATCTCCTTCTCATTGTTGTATATTCTACTTTCATTAGCCATTTCTAGGCAAACATTCTTAGTTATTCTGGCAGTCCAAAGTATTCACAACACCATTCACAAGAACCACATCTCAGTTGCCTACGAATTCTTCTTAATCGTATTGCTCACATTCCAAGATTCACTGCCATACAACAGTATAATAAGAATAATATTTGTCCTAAGCTGCGCAGTACGTCAGTTTACACCTGGCTTGTGAAGCCGTTACAGACGCCCTAATGATGACTTCTTTAGGGGCTGAACGGAGTGTCTGGGATCTACCTTGTTTATCTGCCGTCTAGACTGAGATTTATTAATCTCCAGATGGGTATGGTCAACGTTTAGGTAGCAGTTCGGAGGGGACAAAACGATGCGGTCGATCTATCGATAATGATGATAGCGTTTTTTTCCCCTTGGCGTACACCTGCTGTAGACTCGGTTGGAGAGTTGGGATTGTTCGTCGACCTCTGGACTTTAGACTTGTTCCAGAACCTGAGTGTTGTCCTCACGTCCGTTTTATAGATCTGACTTATGCGAAGTATGCGGAGTGTTGGTTCCTTGCCTTTCAGGCAGATGAACTCTGACCTCAAAGATGTTTTATTTTTTCAAGGAAAATGTTGATGCTCAAGGTGTCTAAAACAGGGTGGAGGCAGTCACCACAAAGTGTCTAAAACAGGGTGGAGGCAGTCACCACAAAGTGTCTAAAACAGGGTGGAGGCAGTCACCACAAAGTGCCTAAAACAGGGTGGAGGCAGTCACCACAAAGTGCCTAAAACAGGGTGGAGGCAGTCACCACAAAGTGACTAAAACAGGGTGGAGGCAGTCACCACAAAGTGTCTAAAACAGGGTGGAGGCAGTCACCACAAAGTGTCTAAAACAGGGTGGAGGCAGTCACCACAAAGTGTCTAAAACAGGGTGGAGGCAGTCACCACAAAGTGTCTAAAACAGGGTGGAGGCAGTCACCACAAAGTGTCTAAAACAGGGTGGAGGCAGTCACCACAAAGTGTCTAAAACAGGGTGGAGGCAGTCACC